GGGAAACTCGAGATAGTTGGGATTTTCACATTCACATGGAAAGACAAGAGAATGGCATGGGATCCGCATGTACATGCAGGTATATATTCATTATTAATACCACAAAATCAGGTATGGATACCTGAAGTAGTTAATGCCCAGCCATACGAGAAAATCGAACCATTGGGATTTGAAAGGCTTAATGCCCGCGTGATGTTTGATGGAACAATGTTTTGGATGCCCGGAGATGTGTACCAGACCACATGTTCTGCCGACGTCACTTATTATCCTTTCGATATTCATCGATGCGAATTCATCTTTACACCTTGGATGTATTCGATGGACGAAATGCTCATTCAGGTCGTGCGTGGGGAAATGGACCTGACACCATTTACTCCCAGTGGTGTATGGGAACTCAGAGGCACTTACGTTAGAGTTGGTGAAATACCAGGTTCCCAATTGTTTTTACTTGGATTGGAGTTTCAACGCCGTCCTATTTTTCATGTAGTTAATATGTTGGTGCCGATAACTATTCTGGGGATTTTAAATGTGCTAGTTTTTCTGCTTCCCGCAGATTCAGGTGAACGTGTTGGATTTTCTATAACAGTATTACTAGCAATGTCTGTGTTTTTAACTATCATCGCTGATAGCTTACCCAGTACCAGTCAGCCAAGCATACCAAGGATGTCCTATCTCTTGCTTGCAGATCTGGCAATAGGAACAATGATAACTATATGTACAATTCTGGTATTACGTTTACATCATAAAGGCGAGGACGAAACTGTCCCACGATGGCTCCAATGTCTCTCGTGTAAGAGATGTTGCTCCAAACGTATAAAAGAGAAAAAATCTACATTTGATGCATCAGACACGTTATCTAATCCATATACAAATGAATTCAATTCCAGATCAACAAATGTGTCGTCGATTACAGAGAACAGAAAGATATATCATTGGAAGTTCAATCAGTTTGGACAGTTTCAAAGTAGATCAGGCCCTTACAATGAGATAAGAGGAAACCAATACAAGCGAGAAGGAATAACTCCACATCCTAATAGCAGTAGGCAATATCCCCAGGAGGAGGGCAATAACAAACAGGAAGTTGCGACCTCTTCAGCAGAAGATCAGCCTATCGTTAGATGGAAAGACATAGCGGACTTTTGCGATATTTTCTTGTTCATTGTGTTCCTTTTGATTATCATTGCCAAAATAATATTATCATTTTTACTTTTTAAGGATAGTGCTTAAAGGAAAACAAACAAACTTCTAGAATCCATCTATATTTTGCATGGCGCTTAATGTTTCCGTAAGTTATAAAAAAAACATTTACAGTAACGAGTCTAAGAATGTTTAAAGACTCGTTAAAACAAAAACAAAAAAATTTTAAAAAATGTGACGAGTTACGGAAATCACATATATTTGAGATAACTTTCAGTAAATGATCGTTTTATGCAGGTAAATATTGCAGAAATTGGATAAGGGTGTCCATTGTTACGACATAATGTAATCTATGATTGTGACGTCAGTTAATTATTTTAACCTGATGATATCATAGGTGATATTATACTGTAATACATAATGCGTAAACATAGCCATATTCTCTAAATTACAAGGCAATCATGTGACAAGAGAATATTTTGAAGTTAAAGGTCATCGACAATGGGAATAAAGACTTAATTTTCGTGAAAAATCATTAGATGACGTCTTAAGAAAGGAATTAGGGGATGGACAGCTAGTACAATTTCTACTTGTGAAAACACGAGGAAGTTTAAATATCTAGAGTTATTTCTTTTATGAAAACCAAGGACTCTCAAGGACGTCAATCTTCCACTAGACACATGTTTATTAGTAGTTTTTAGTACATTCTGTACATTAAATCGGCTATATTTGATTTCATAAACATGTACAACAACCATAAAATGACTAAGATATAGTGTTTGTTATTAAACTATTTGTTTACTGCACATCTATATTTACATATAAGTGACAACTTTTATGTAGCTGCAGACAAAGTCATTCTTTATAATTTTGTCAATTTTGCGATTTTCATCTGCTGTTCATTTCAGTGATGGGAGCCGTCTTTCCACTTTTTTCAGATTTTGTTTTAATAATCAAAATAATTTTATTCTAATCGTAAAGCGTTTGTTAAATGCAATATTCATTACATTATTAATCGCTGTTAAGTCCCACATGCCCTGGGCTACCCAAGTACACACCGGGACCCTACCGATTGGAGGGGATCAATGGTCGTGACAGGACACCTACTAGTTAAGTGGACTGTGAATTTACCTTAATAAGCAGCAAGACGTCCAGTTTTATCTGATTTATAAAGGAATGAACTCTCGGCTCACATTTTGCTAAGATATATTTAAATGACTAATTTGTCACCAAAAATCAAACAACGCTATTCTATCGTTTTATATTTTGTGTAATTTTATTACTGCGTCCCATCAATATTTTGTCAGCAAATACATTGTTTATAACTGTTTTGCTTTGTTAACATGTGTGTAATTTTACCATGCTTGGATATGTCGTATATGCTTTGTTAATAAATTGTTATATACGTTTGTTCGTAAATTAACTCAGCACAGCTAATGTTTTTATCTGTATATATACAATTGTCGAGAAAATAAATCTTATTCCTTGCACTTCTCGTGTCTACTACTGTTCCATACAGGCAGAATGAAATTCACCTTCGAAAAACAAAGAAAACCCCACAGAGCAGGACATCATCTTCTGGGGAAGTACACAAATATACCGGAACACATGTACACATACTGTACAACACCATCACCTTCCACATGTAGGACAATAAACGTGCAAAACTATGTAAGTATCCTATAATGTTCTAGACGTAAAGGAATCTCTTCGTAAACATGATTATAATGTTCAGTGTTCTTAGAAAACAATGGGCCATATTCACAATCACTCTAGCTACTTGTTAATAAACATTGACACTATCTTATCAGTGTGGCCTCTGAAGATGGCCACAGTCACCCTAGCCACTGGCAATATAAACATTGGCCTTATCTCATCATAGTGGCCTCTAGAGATAGCTACATCCGTAACCAGCCTAGCTATTTTCAATGTACATCGAAACCTCTCATCAGTGCGACTTGTAGAGATGACAACCGCCACAGCCGTCCTAGCTACATATTAATGTACATTGCCATGTAGAAGTAACGACAATTGCGTGTGGGCAATGAAATATCCCAGTCATATGTATTTTAACTTTAACTTTAAGAGAATATTATGTTTTCTGCACGACACTTTTTTTCTTTACTGAGATAAAAAGAGGCTTTTTCCTTACTAAAAACCACCAAGCAAAATGCTATGTCAACATAATCATAAGCAAAACTCAAATTCCATAAAACTAAGGCAAAATATGATCAAAAGAAAGATTTACACGCACCTGAAAAATACATAGAGGATAAGATCGGGTGTTCCAGAAGAGTAAGCGTCTTTTGCTTCTTCGACGGCAAATGCCATGCAATCATTGGTCAATTCAAGTAAGTAATAACGCATTCTCAAATGAGAACGTGGTATACAACAACGGAACCAATAGACAAACCAACTAGTATCAAACACGTTCAGCTTCATATCAAGAAACAGAATGAGATCACCTTTGCGACCATAAATTTTCCCCATAAATTTCGTCAATCTGTATGTACAACCCTGGGTTACGAGTTTGTCCGGACGTTGACGACGTCTTGCATGATGACCGTGATAAAGGGAACAGGCCCTTGAAAATCGAATCAACTATTACATATAAATACCATAGGTTGGTGATGCAGGGGTATTGCTATCTAGAAATAGAAAATTCACGATAGAGAACTTGAAATCATCATCATGTTTCTCATATAGCTTGGTGGAAAACTGGCCATGTTGGTTTTGTTGTAGGAAAAGATCGAGATAAGCAGCTGATGTAGAAGAGTTTGTCGTGTATTTGATTTCCAATTCTGGTATGCTTATACTTACGTTTAATCCTTTTTGGTTATTCAAAAATAAGACGTAATCAATATATCGGAAAGTGAAAGTGAAAGTATGACCTGTTTTGATAAGCTCTTCAATTAATTCAGCCTCGTATGAAAACAAAAACAAGTCAGCCAACAGAGGGACGTAGTTTCCATAAGACCATGAATATAATTGTCATTGTGGCATTGACCTACCTTTCTCCATATTTAAATCAATCTCAATTTCATAACTAAAACTACTGCATTGAGAAATAAACTAGAGCCGTACGAGGTCATCGGTCACCTGTCACACATTGGAAAATAAATCCATAGCTTTACTTGGAGGAATGCTCTATACAACACAATATTGGAATCTGAACACAAATTTGACAGATATTTCTTTTTATGTTTAGGTGTTGTTAACGTCTTTAAAATACTTGACAGTCCACTTTTGAGTTATCATTCCGTTAATAGCCATGGTATATTATCATGATTCATCAACAAGCTTAGTTAAGGAGAGTCCTGCTTTCATGATACACTTACGGTAAGGTATTTCAAATAACATTAAATAAACTGTTTACAATTATTGTTTGAAGACGAAATTAAGGTTAACATAAACAGTATATGACGATAATAGTTTGGTCACTAAAGGTCTTTTAAATATTTTGAAGAAGGCTAAAGTGATATTTATAGTGTCGTCAATAGTTGAACGGAAGTCACTCTTGCATAACTTAAGTAGTGTATTCATTCCATTGATAAAACTTTGCTAGGTAACGATAATTGCAAACAACGATCTTTAAAAGTAGGAGAGTAACTTTCATGACATATTCACACAAGATAGAAACAGAGCTTGTCGAGCCTTTATTGACAATGGACTGAGAAATACCCCATATCATAATACAAAGCTTCACCATTCAAATACAATGGTAGGACTATAGTTCATTGTAAGTTTGGCTGACACAGTTATGGTATCAATCTATGTCACGTGCTATTACTTTGTCCCAGTACTAAATATGCGACGACGATTTAAACCTACAGTATATTCATGTGGGATTTCCTGCAGGTAAGATGGATTTTAAGATATCCTTCGTGTTGTTGTCGACATTATACGGAATCACACTAGGACAAGATAGTGATGATTATAGCAGACTTTACAATAACTTAACAACAAATTACAACAGAAACATTCGACCTATTGAAAATGTCCAACAACCGACAATAGTCGATTCTTCTTTTATACTTTTATCTATTAAGGAGTTTGAAGAGAAAGAAGGGAAACTCGAGATAGTTGGCATTTTCACATTCACATGGAAAGACAAGAGAATGGCATGGGATCCACATGTACATGCAGGTATATATTCATTATTAATACCACAAAATCAGGTATGGATACCTGAAGTAGTTAATGCCCAGCCATACGAGAAAATCGAACCATTGGGATTTGAAAGGCTTAATGTCCGCGTGATGTTTGATGGAACGATGCTTTGGATGCCCGGAGATGTGTACCAGACCACATGTTCTGCTGACGTCACTTATTATCCTTTCGATATTCATCGATGCGAATTCATCTTCACACCTTGGATGCATTCGATGGACGAAATGCTCATTCAGGTCGTGCATAGGGAAATGGACCTGGCACAATTTACTCCCAGTGGTGTATGGGAACTCAGAGACACTTACGTTAGAGTTGGTGAAATACCAGGTTCCCAATTGTTTTTACTTGGGTTGGAGTTTCAACGCCGTCCGATTTTTCATGTAGTTAATATCTTGGTGCCGATAACTGTTCTGGGGATTTTAAATGTGCTGGTGTTTCTGCTTCCCGCAGATTCAGGTGAACGTGTTGGATTTTCTATAACAGTATTACTAGCAATGTCTGTGTTTTTAACTATCATCGCTGATAGCTTACCCAGCACCAGTCAGCCAAGCATACCAAGGATGTCCTATCTCTTGCTTGCAGATCTGGTAATAGGAACAATGATAACTATATGTACAATTCTGGTATTACGTTTACATCATAAAGGCGAGGACGAAACTGTCCCACGATGGCTCCGATGTCTCTCGTGTAAGAGATGTTGCTCCAAACGTATAAAAGAGAAAAAATCTACATTTGATGCATCAGACACGTTATCTAATCCATATACAAATGAATTCAATTCCAGATCAACAAATGTGTCGTCGATTACAGAGAACAGAAAGATATATCATTGGAAGTTCAATCAGTTTGGACAGTTTCAAAGTAGATCAGGCACTTACAATGAGATAAGAGGAAACCAATACAAGCGAGAAGGAATAACTCCACATCCTAATAGCAGTAGGCAATATCCCCAGGAGGAGGGCAATAACAAACAGGAAGTTGCGACCTCTTCAGCAGAAGATCAGCCTATCGTTAAATGGAAAGACATTGCAGACTTTTGCGATGTTTTCTTGTTTATTGTGTTCCTTTTGATTATCATTGCAAAAATAATAGCATCATTTTTACTTTTTAAGGATAGTGCTTAAAGGAAAACAAACAAACTTCTAGAATCCATCTATATTTTGCATGGCGCTTAATGTTTCCGTAAGTTATAAAAAAAGGCATTTACAGTAACGAGTCTTAGAATTTTTAATGACTCGTTAAAACAAAAAACAAAAAATTTTTAAAAAATGTGACGAGTTACGGAAATCACATATATTTGAGATAACTTTCAGTAAATGATCGTTTTATGCAGGTAAGTATTTCAGAAATTGGATAATGGTGTCCACATAGTTATCTCACAATGAAATCTATGATAATGACGTCATTACATTATTTTAACCTGATGATATCATAGGTGATATCATACTGTAATACATAATATATAATGCGTAAACATAGCCATATTCTCTAAATTAGAAGGCAATCATGTGACAAGAGAATATTTTGAAGTTAAAGGTCATCGGCAATTGGAATAAAGATTTAATTTTCGTGAAAAATCATTAGATGACGTCTTAAGAAAGGAATTAGGGGATGGACAGCTAGTACAATTTCTACTTGTGAAAACACGAGGAAGTTTAAATATCTAGAGTTATTTCTTTTATGAAAACCAATGACTCTCAAGGACGTCAATCTTCCACTAGACACATGTTTATTTGTTTATTAGTAGTGTTTTAGTAGATTCTGTACATTAAATCGGCTATATTTGATTTCATAAACATGTACAACAACCATAAAATGACTAAGAGGTAGTGTTTTTTTTTTATTAAACTATTTGTTTACTGCACATCTATATTTACATATAAGTGACAACTTTTATGTAGCTGCAGACAAAGTCATTCTTTATAATATTGTCAATTTTGCGATTTTCATCTGCTGTTCATTTCAGTGATGGGAGCCGTCTTTCCACTTTTTTCAGATTTTGTTTTAATAATCGAAATAATTTTATTCTAATCGTAAAGTGTTTGTTAAATGCAATATTCATTACATTATTAATCGCTGTTAAGTTCCACATGCCCTGGGCTACCTAAGTACACACCGGGACCTTACCGATTGGAGGGGATTAATGGTTGTGACAGGACACCTACTAGTTAAGTGGACTGTGAATTTACCTTAATAAGCAGCAAGACGTCCAGTTTTATCTGATTTATAAAGGAATGAACTCTCGGCTCACATTTTGCTAATATATATTTAAATGACTAATTTGTCACCAAAAATCAAACAACGCTATTCTATCGTTTTATATTTTGTGTAATTTTATTACTGCGTCCCATCAATATTTTGTCAGCAAATACATTGTTTATAACTGTTTTGCTTTGTTAACATGTGTGTAATTTTACCATGCTTGGATATGTCGTATATGCTTTGTTAATAAATTGTTATATACGTTTGTTCGTAAATTAATTCAGCAGAGCTAATGTTTTCATCTGTATATATACAATTGTCGAGAAAATAAATTTTATCCCTTGCACTTCTCGTGTCTACTACTGTTCCATACATGCAGAATGAAATTCACCTTCGAAAAACAAAGAAAACCCCATAGAGCAGGACATCATCTTCTGGGGAAGTACACAAATATACCGGAACACATGTACACATACTGTACAACACCATCACCTTCCACATGTAGGACAATAAACGTGCAAAACTATGTAAGTATCCTATAATGTTCTAGACGTAAAGCAATCTCTTCGTAAACATGATTGTAATGCTCAATGTATGAATCATAGAACGAGGACACAGAAAACAATAGCTAAATAGTCTAGTATTAGAGACAAAAACATTGTGTTTGTTTTACACATATATATATAGATATATTAGATAACACACACACATATATATACAGCCAAAAATAACTCGGGATACTTTGATAAAAACTCACACTGAACAGGGGTCAACAAAAGCACTAAGATAATAAAATATTTATTTGGAAAAAAATATAAATTATCATTAAATTTTATTATTGAAATATTAAAATATATAAACTATCATTTAACTATTCTCTCAGAATTTTAAGATGAAATAACAAATACTATCTCATTGCATTCTGATATACCTGCCAGTTAACAATAGGGTGATTAATACTGGTAATGACCCTGAACACAGGTGTGACCTTGGACGCACACCTGGGCTCACACAGGTATCTTAAGGTGTTTACCTAGCTGTATGTATGACAGGTAAGGGTTGTTAACAGCTGCCGAAATTGATCGGAGCCAATTAACATGTTGGACAGATATTTAAGAGTTCATCTGCTAGATTCGTTACTTGTTGTTCGTCTCAGCTGTGTTTCGTAATTTTTCCATATCCCGTTGTATTTAAGAAGTTAACATAGACATAAACAACTTTGATTTTTATTAGGGTTGCAATACCCCGACATAACACAGTGTACCATCACTGCTGAAATAAGACCGTTTAAAAATCGCCATTTTATAGGAGACTATTGACTTAAAATGTCAAGTCCGTGATGAGACTTCCTCTGTGTTTACAACAATCACTAACCATCTGGCGGAATTGACGTCAAAGATAATAGGTGCCGAAGATTCCCGAAAGCTACCGGGAAAAGCCGAAGTGCGGACAGTTAAACAAACTCATTTGTAGCCGAATGCACTCAGCGACAACCATATCGAGAGATGAAAATCTATTAAAGGTACCAACATGATATTTACGTCAAGAAATAGATAAAATCTTTCGTTACCGATGACCTTGAAAATGGACAGGTATTTATCATGATTCATATGGAGAAGCTAGCTATGTTAACCGGTATGGAAATTTTGACGTCAAAACAAAAGCAAAAGAGTACCATAGTTTTGATATACCATAACAACACATTTCAATAAGTGAACAAAAAGGATCTTTTCCACAGTTAAGATATGCACCATCTGGTTAAGTTCTATATTTTGGCTCCATAACAAATTGGATCAAGTGCATATTTACTCTAGAAAGTGTCACTTAAGAAACTGGATGCTCAACTGGTCACCATCTTAGGTTGTTGAAAGTGAACGCAAAACAAAGTAGATCTAAATACTTAAAATATAGTGCTACAGACGTAATCTTATTCCTTGTCGTGGTAAAAAGTAGTATTAATCCTTAATATATGTATATGAATGTTTTATTTTGTAGAGTTTTAGTGTATGGTAGAAATAAACGTGTTCTCAAAAATTCAAAAATCTTTAGATTATATATAAATTTTAATGGACATCTTTCATATGAGCTATTCACCATAAATCCTGCCTGAGAAGCTACCAGTTTTGAAAGATCGCTCAAAAATCTTATTGTAGTTGTTTTTGTGTTTACCAGCAGTATGATAAAAATCTGTAAAGATGCTAAGATTAGTAACAAAGAGCTACATGATCCACCAGTGATAGTCACCTATACAATTTTGACTGTATTGTTATGTTTCTTTTGTGTCAGAATGCCCTCAATGAAATCAAATCTCTGAGACATCACAATACTAAATGTCTCTATTTCCAGAGTCTGATCTTTTAACAAAGGGGTTTCATTTAAATATTTTTATCTATCCTACAAGGAGTAAAAAGACGAGTGCAACATGCATATGGATACTTATATATACCCAACAAAAGTCTCACTATTGTTGCTGTTTCAACATTCATTCTGAGAGTGATTGGTAGAATAGAAAACGCGTGAAGGGTGTTACTGTGAGAGGAAATCGGAGTATCATGGGAATGCTCACGTGGTTAGGCAGGTGACCCCATACCTTTTCACGTCCATACCGGGAATCGAACCCCGGACGGCTAGGTGAAAGGCGTTGCCATGGCGAGATAAGCGGCAGCCGAAACGGCCACGTCACCAGTTCGCTGATGTTGAAGTTGTGATTCTTTTTCCTCGTAGTATATATATGTTTATGAAGATGCCAAACACTAGACAATTTAAGCTCCACATAACTACGAGGACCTTGTCATCCTGTGATACGTTATGGTATTGGTTATATTTGTGAAAGTTGTATATTATGAATGTAGCCCGGTCGTGGTGTTGTGTGAGTACTGGTGCATGTAGCTTGATAGGGAGTTGTTCATGATAGTTCATATATATACCTTGTAGCATTCTTTGTCTTTGGCTACCAGGCAGGACATGCCTAACTGTAATACTAACGTTTCTACTTTCACTTTCATCTCTACCTCTCTGAACTCTCTTCTGATTGGCTCTTCTCTTCCTGTCTCTTATTGGCTAACACGTTGTGTACCTGCATTTCGTCAGTCTGAAAAAGTTTCGTGAGCAGTTCAATTCATTTTTTTTCTCTCTTTGACAGGTCTGTTGTAAGGTGGGTGTCTCGTCTATGTCTTGTGTATGCCGATAAAGCCAGGAAGGCTGACCGGAAATGTATGTAAGGTCTGTGTGTATGTCCTAGCTAGTCCCGACGGTAGCCTCCTGTGTGTTGACTGGGGCTTTGTTCTGTTTCGTCCTTGGTTTTCCTTCTGTATGTAATAAAATCATACTGAAACGTATAATCTCTGTTATTTATTGGCTGTTACCAACCTGAACCCCACAAAAAACCTTGGTGTATTTTTTTTTATGTAGGGACAGTCCTACTATAAATTCATATATTTACGCTATTGTATATCACAATGTATTTTATATATCGACACAAGTAAAGAATAAGAAAATTGTGCTGTGTAAGAACAAACTTTTAATAGACGGGTGTGTTGTACTCCTTCGACCCCAGACACCCCCGTGGAAGCGTCGGCGAAATCACTCCTCTGTACAATAGGAACGTGTCGTTGGGTAAACCCAACCTGGATTTGTGGCTAAAATGAAAAATAAAAGCTGGTGCAATAGCAAAACAAATTTAAGTGTGGTGGAGTAAACTGTATAAAGACTGTAGATTGTGGTGATAAGTATGTAAATTGGTTTAAGATTAATTGACATGTATGTAGATGTGATGAAGTTTTGTTGTTTGAAACAGTATATATACCACTTAATAATTCTAATTAATATATAGGTGATCCATATTAAGAACTAGAAAACGAATACTTGATTTTTTCAGTTAATTACAAATATGTTTGCCTTTCAGTATATGGTTCAAAATAATATTCCGCAGTTGACGCATCTTAGTAATAAATTAGAAAATGATTTTCATGTTTTTATCACTTTGTTTATCGTAATATTATTATGATAATAGTACTCTACTCCAACTGCCCAACTGATTTACAGCCACAGCTAAACGTATTCAGTGAATACTATACAGAGTGGAAAGTAAAGGTTGATGTAAGTAAAATTAAATGTATGGTATTGAATAACGAAAAAAAACCCAACAAATATACACGTTTTTTTGTAATGATGAAGAGCTAGATATAGCGGGCAGTTTTACCTACTTGAGTATAATATTTTGTCGCTTTGGTCAGTTTCAAAAATACTGTTTAAAAAACACAACAATATGAATGCATATTATGAAGAAATGTTGACAATATAATCTGTATTTTTTTGTGTATATGATTTATCTGTTAAAATTGTGAATAACATTTTGATGTATGGTTGTGAAATATGGGGTCTTACAAACCATAAAATGACTGAGAGTGGCCATTCTTGCAAAATTTTACTAAGGTTAAAAGTAATACTCCGAATTACATGTTATGTAGGGAACAAGGTGCGTGACCCTTAGAAATATCAGTCAAAACATTGATATTAACATATTGGTCACTGTCGACTCATTCTAAAGAAAGTAGTATGAACACTATATTGTATAAATTTTTGTGTTGATAATAAATCTTTTGCATATACAATCAATCAACGTCAGGAAACTGATATCGTTAACCTTATTTATACACTTCGTTATAGTCGAAATTCGGATAAGTCGAAATATTTTCCACTAGCAGTGTCTAATTTATACTTTAGCAATCTCGTACGTTTGAGGATATACTTCTTATAGGTTATCGTGTCTACTCAACCTTGTCAAACTACAAGCATACAATAAAACAATAGCTAAGAAGCAAGTCCAGTAGGGTCTTGATAAGGTGTTCATTACGTCATGAATGTTATAAATGCTATAATGTTTTTAACGACAACTAATATCAGAAAAAACACAAAGCAGAACACATCACAAAACGACGCGACCTGCTTCCATGTGACGACGTTAGCTTCACTGCTGTCATCATGAGATGAGTCTTTCCTCTGATATCTGCTGCGATCTGAGTGTTGCATCTCAGAGTTGTCTCCGGTTGTGAATTTTTTATTTCTCGTTGGTTGGTATAAACGATGATGTCCTTGATCATTTCTCCCGTGAACCATGTAGTTTTGACTGCAGTATACCGAAGGTAAACTTGTCATTGGGTGAGTATAGTTTACACCGCTAACTTCTCGGGAACGTATCTGAGAGTAATCCGAATCTGAAAGATCCTTTTCAGAATATCTATTGTTTTTCTGCGTCGCACAGATGAAATACTGTAGCCACTTTGGGATCTTGCTCTCTTCCGGTTTGTGGTGCAAACGTAACCCGAGGATAGTACATATCGTTGCCAGTGTACTTATTACTAAATCCGCAATTAAGATATATGACATACGTGGAATACTAGGTTCACTGGTGTTAGGTAAGCTATCGGACACTATTGTGAGAAATACGGTCAAAGCAAGCAGGACCGTTATTGAAAATCCTACTCGTTCTCCTGAATCTGCCGGAAGGAGAAACACTAAGGTAATAAGCAGCGCCATGACACTTGCGGGTACAAAGATATTGATTAAACTAAACAATGGACGACGTCTAAAACTGATCATTAACTTGAACTCTGGAGTAACCGTTAAAGCTCCAGCCTCGATTCTCGTATCAATCAGCTCCCATTGTCCACTTGGAAAATACAGGGATGTTTCCGGTTTGCTTGTCAAATTATGTAATGTCATTTCCTGGTCGTTAAGATACATCCATGGATAAAACAACAGATAACAGGTATGCTCGTCAAACGGATAATTTGTTATATCTGCAGCACAAGTGGATTCATAAATATCCCCGGGCATCCAAAACATCGTCCCGTCGGACCTTACACGGATATGCATTTCGTCAAAACCAAGGGACTGGATACTATTATACGGATTGCCAAGGATCAAGTCAGGTTTCCAGACGTCTTTTTGTGGGATCAGAAAAGTTGAAATACCTCCATATTGTCCTGGATCCCACACCATATTGTAATCGTTCCACTCTAATATAAATATTCCCATGATAGACAACTTATTGTCTTTTTCCACAAATTCCTTTATACTTAACAATTGGAATCCTACTACGACATGCGTTGGACTTGAGAAATTCACTGTTGGCCGTATATTCCTGTTGTAGTTACTGGTCAAGTTCTTATGAAGTCTGTCCATGTCTGAATATGTCTGAGCAACAACGTGCTCGTACGAAACGATCAGAAAACACAAGATGACAAACCGGCCCATACTTGCCATTGAGAGAAAAATGTACTTCCCTCGATTTCGGCAGCGACTGTCGATAATATTTTTCACGGTACGAGAAGTGGTTAACAATAAATGCTTTGTATAAATACAGCTTGCCCCGGTGTAGTTAATGCATGCTGTTTAATCCCTCGAACATTGGATAACTGGGGTCACGTCGTTTGGGTCAGTGATCACTATCAAAGACTATGAGGTATTCTAACAAGCCTGTTAACGCTGTACAATGTGCCTCATGGCTTTGTAATTCATTACTTAGTGAGTAGTTTGTAAAGAAAAAAGCAGAGAAAATCGCTAAAATTCGTCAAATTAGTATCTACCATCATACCAAGTAAATACACTTTCTATTTTTGTAGATGACGTAGGCATTGAATGGACTGAGTAACTGGCTTGTACAAAATGTCTTCTTTACAAGCTGGAATATCAAATTGTCGTATTATCCTTCTCGCTAAATTATTAGAGGAGACAGTGAATACTATTATTGTTACTAGTCTCATTCCTGCGAAAAAGCTACACATCATGTAAAATAAGAACGTGAAATTCTAAAGATGAAAAGTCATAGAACGTGCTCAGTACTGGTATAATCAATTACTTATGTATGTGACATGTTTATGAAACCAATGGGTAATAAATTTGGATTGTTAATTAGATTGAAAATCGAACCTGTTTTAATACTAGCAGTATACTAACCCATATCGGGGATGGAAGTGGGTGACATTTTTTGACTAATATGTCCTAATAAAGTGTCTGTTGTTAAAAGGAACATTCCTTCGTTCGAACGATAAAATTATACCACTTTTGTTTTTCAAATTTATACCTAAAATTGGATCACACTGCCTATCAGTGATGAAATTAGCATGACAATTGACAAAACATATATTATATATAAACACAAACAATATATATCACTTACCTTTGTACTTCTGGCCGAATTAAGAATTTCAAATGTTTTGTAGTTTAATAACTTTGGGTTATTTTGGGATCTTCACTGCCGTATTAAGTGTAGTTATTGACTGTTATTGATCTGCAAAATTAACGTTTTCCTTTTCGTATTTTTTCTTATATACTAAAATTGTCAAAGAACCTTTCAGAATTCAAAATTGTCTTCACTTATGCTACGGGTATCAATGACAGCATATACAGAGAATCATCACATGTAAATAACATAATAATAGAATATTTTTACGATGTCATTAATGAATAGGAGACACAATACAGGACCAAGTATGGAACCATGTGTAAAACCACTAAAACACTAAAAGGGACAGAGTGATCTCGAATTCCAAGGCTAGACAGTTTGCAGAGAAGACCTTTCTACAAAACCACATTTCAAAAGACCATCCGTGTGGCATTGCCCTTTTAAGTGAAGAACTAATGTCATAAATGATACGAAGAAGCTGATTGGTCCATTTATCACCCTGGTTGATAATCTGACAGGAGCGAATAGGTTTTTAAAATTGTTGTGTGTAAACTAGAATAGACAAAACTCTACTGAATATAAGAGTAGATATAGGGGAAACAGATCCTTGTCTCAGCTTTCGTTGTCAACAAATTGTACACATATAGAAATATACATATACCGGTGCCAAAACATGAATGTTCTATTTCTCTGTGTGACACAAAGCTGGACGTATTTAATGCTCGTTAGTTTGCTTGTGGGTTCCGTTGTTGTATACCTTGTTCTCATTTGAGAACGTGACATTACGTACTTTGACTGACCAAGGTTTACATGGAGGGTGTCGTCAACGAAGCAGAAGGCGCTTCCCTTCCGGAACATCCGGTATTATTATTCTTGTACTTTTCGGGAGTCTCCGTGTAAATCTTTTGGTTGTTAATATTTTGCTCTAGTTTTATCGAATATGAGTCTACATTATGATTGTGTTGCCATGTTTGTATTTTTTAGATTCATTTTTTGCACCGTTCAGCGGATCCTATAAGTAAATAAATTGTGAAGTTTTCTTTATTCGTATAATTTCAGAAGAGTGTTAGGAGCATGTGTATATTCTGGACGTGCCACTTTTCCAATGAATTAAAATCAAAGTGTTTGGGATCGATCGTGTTTATCTTTTAAGCGTTGCCTATGATAGCGATAATAATGTTCTCTAAATCCTTAGATATCTTGCTGGTCTTTAAAATTTGATTTTTTAATCACATGCCGTATTTTTGTCCTGAAATGTTATTGGTACATTATGATAAAATGTATAGATTCATTGTCAGACGTGTTTTTGGTAAAATGTAAAACAAAAATTAATTACGATGGTGACATTTAATTGTTGGCAGGTTTGGCCAGTTACGTTTTGGAAATGTTTTAAAAACCTATCGATGTCTCTTGTGCAGCAACACGTGTCATATGGACACGAATAAGATATATGACTTCAAGCATAAAGTCAGAGTCGGTTTCGACAATGGCTAGTTTAGCAATCTTCCCACTTTCTAGAATGTGTGCCGATTTTGCCTTAGAATGAGTTACCCGGTCAATGTCAAAGAATATTAAAAATAGACTCATAACAATTTCGCGAGTCACTGGTGTAAGGGAGACAACTTTTAAACGGCTTATTAGAAAAAAAAACTGCATTTATTTAATTTATTTTCATTTATATACATATGTCATCACAAATATAGATTATAGATCTGCGATTGATGAATGTGTGTTTTGCATGTGTTTACTTCATCATACACTTTTGCTCGGCTTGTTACTTCGATGTAAAACATTCGACGGAGTAATGATTAAAAGAGCACACATATAGACATTGACAAATTTGAAATGGTATCAATGAAAGAAAAACTTCAAAGTTGCTACCGTTTTAACGATGGAATACTTATGTTAAATATTATAGCTAAAAATCAAATCAAATCAAATTATGGCATCCCTTTACTAAATGTACACAATTTTGATTTTTTTTTTTAAATTAGCAAGAGGGGTGTTTAGAAGTTTAAAAACATGTATCTAGTCTGACAGCGAGTTTTTTTTTAGATCACTTGTGACTGCATTTATTCTAAAGAACAAAGAAACGAAGACGTGGTAACAATCTTAACAGATTAAAACCCAAATTTGATGAATTAAGGCAAAATATGAAGAAAGGACATATTGACATGGCTATCCCCGAAAAAGTCTTCTGCTTCATTGACGACAGTCTCTATACAAACCCAGGTAAATCCAAACATGTAATGTCACGTTCTCAAAAAAATAAACAAAAAAATACGGTATACAAAAACGGAACCAAAAAGCAAACGAACGAGCCTAAAACACGCCCAGCTTAATATAAACAACAACGGAAGTACAAGTTATATTTACGAGGTATAAACAAATTAAAAGACTTGCACAAGTCAAAATCACCTGGTAAGCACATGTGAAACGCTGGAATACACATCTGCATGATCGGAACCCCACCAAAATGCACCAGAAATTGGAAGCAAAAGCAGTATCGCTTTCAGATACCGATAAATCCATGTCGTACAAAGGCTTGCTTCCTATTGTCTTTTAACCTAAGTAATATTATTTCTTGGATAACTATTTGTTTCACTAATGACTGTTGAACATGTCGATATCCATTGACAAACTAATCAAACTATATCTAAATTTACGTCATATATTGCAAGATAAATATTGAATGGATTCTTGTCGATTTGTTGAGGAGTGTTTACATTTAACTACTCAAATATGGCACGCATTACCTAATAATGACACGTTTGATCTTCACGACAGTTTGTTTGCGAACCATTAGGCATTCATCATGTGTATTACATTATCCTAATCAAAGGAATTCATATATCAATGTGAATGACAATGTTAAGTAATTATACCAATGCGTCTGAAGTGAGAATATGGAAAAAGTATTGTATTTGGTTTAGAATCTCAATATTTGTGCAATATTAATGTCTATTGTCCTGGCGTGGGGGTTTCATACATTGTTACTCTATCATCTATCACCTCATACAGACACGTCATAAATATTTCGCAATATGTAATTTCTTTTGAAGGACTTTGAAGGACACGTATGCTCCTTATTTGACATTTTACACAAGGTGTGAAAAGGAAAAAAACTAGTGTCAAACGGTAAACGTGCGTTTATTTAAAAATAACCCGCACATACAAAATATCATATTCTAACCATGACAAAGTGTTACATGTATAAAGCAACAATGAACATCTAAAGCAATATGAAAATACCAACACAAGGATATAATCATAATAAAAACACAAATTCAATAAGACTATGGAACAGTTTTAACAAAAGAAAGATTTACATGGAGAATCAGACCAGATGGTTCTGAAGAGAAAGCGTCTTCTGCTTCATCGACGAAAAAGGGCATTGTCAATCGGAGCATGCCACGTTTTAAATCGAGAACCTTTGATATCTACTTTTCATTTGTATGTACAAAATTAAAAATTGTGATTTTCTACTGGAAATTATTGACGAACACATATTTCATACTTAGGGTTAAATTCTAAATGCTCGATATATAAACCATCACGATTATTAACTCAGAAATACACTTACAATTGTGATACAAATATAAAGTAATTTAAACTGTTTATACATGAAAACTTTGTTATCACTTACTGAAAGCATATTGTACATTTGAAGTAATAAATATTTCGTCTATGACTGGTTACAAACGGTTCCATGAAGAATATAACAATTCAATAGAACATGAGTATTAAACACATTATATATAATAACTAAATACTGTATATAGTTTCATGAAGTGTGATTGGATATGCAACATGTCAGAGTCTAAGAACAGCAAACACATCTTTACAGTATTATATATGTGATAGAAAGTTCCCACAAAAAGTGTGTTTCGAAACATACATTAATAGAAACATATTTTTTAGCTGGATCATATCTATTTATCTATTCTACTGGAATTAAAATGCGTGTTGCTAAAAAGTTCTGTCTATCAAAATACTAGTAATAATATAGAAAAAAATATTCGTTAACAATGTTTAAAAGGTACACAATACAAAGAAAACGAGATCCAACATCCGGTCTGGTAGATTCAGTAATATAGGCAAATATCAAATGGTTTAAATTCTTCCTACGACTGTTGTCTGGTCCTATATATTTGTTATTTAATGTTTAAAAAAGTTAGTCTTTTTAATAGACGCTATATGATACTTTAAAATATATTCTAGGGGAAACAATCATGTTTTAATGAGAGAAAAAATTAAGAATAGTTTTGTGATTGCAAAAATATAATTACTGCCACAACATCTTTAGCAAGTAAAACCATTAAAAATAACACGAAGAAAACAATGTCCAAGACCACTGCGACATTTTTCCATGTAATGTTTTTAGAGGGTTCCTGAGTAGATAACACAGTCTTTTGATCAGTGTCATTGACATCTTGTTGCTCGTATTTGAATGTTTTTTCACTTGGCCGGGAAATTGCAGATTCATTAAAGTAAATGTGTTTAATCTGTTCTGGAGAAGAATTATTCCAACTCTCCATGCTATTGTCAGATTCTAAGCGTGTATCGGTACACCTGCTCTTCTTTTTAATGCTTGGACGGCAGGACATTAGTCTCTTCAGCCATTTGGGGACCTTCTGAGAGTCTGGTTTGTGATGGAGACGCAATCCAAGAATGGCGCAAACGGTTACTAAAGCATTCGCGCCTAGATCGATTGCAAGAAGGTAACACAGAAACGGGACATTCGGCTCACTGTTACTGGGTAGACTGTCCGTCACAATACTGATAAACACAGCCATTGCTAATAATACAGTAATCGAGAAGCTGACACGCTCTCCTGACTCTGCAGGGAGCAAGAATACCAAGACATTCAAAAGTCCTATGACACTGATAGGTATCAACGTGTTAAGAACATGGAATATTGATCGCCTTTTTAGTTGCAATATTAAAATAATAAGCGGTGATGACTTGTCACAATGTATTCCTGTTGCCTTGACCTCCCACAAGCCATTTGAGTAGAAGTATGAAAGGTCTAGCATAGTATTATTGCTTTCGAAACGTAACTCCGATATATCGTACATCAAAGAGCTAAACATTATGAAACAAGATTGGACATCAAAGGGATAAAACGTCACATCAATAGCACAACTAGACTGGTAGACATTTGCTGGGGCCCAGTACATATCTCCGTTGTATACGACCCGAATTGTTTGTCTGTCATAACCGAGAGGTTCAATTTCATCATATGGGTTAACTTGTATAACGTCGGGTTTCCACACTGCCGTCTGAGGCAGAAATGTTGTAATACTGTTGCCAAAATCCGTGTAATTCCACTGGAGTTGAAAGTCATTCCATGAGTATGTAAAAATTCCTACTATAGCCAATTTATTGGTCTTTTCATCCAGTTCTTTGATAGAAAGAAGGTTGAAATTGACATTAACAATTGTTGGCTCTGACTGATTAAAAGTTGGCCTGACATACTTGTTGTAATGTTTCGTCAAGTTCTCATGGAGTTTGACCATATCTGTGTGCGTTGCTGCATCGCCAGAACCCGTCAAAAGGAACATCAACGTGAGAGTCGATATACATGTAGCTTCCTTCATCTCTGGATATAGCAGTGAAATTGTTGTCACTGCTTATGCTTTTATGGTTTGTTATAAAACCAGATAGATTAAATCGATATTTACCGATGCCCAATGAAATCGAGGTGTGTTTGACTTGACTGTAATCAAGCTAAATCAATGCCTATCCAAAGTTGAATAACACTCTATTAAGTCGTTGTCTAGTGATTATATGTAACATTTGTATTTACCAGCTTTATTTCTCTGTATGCAGATCAGTAGATGTAGTGACACATTGGACATCTATACATCTTTATGGAATTGTTGTGTACACTGGAAACATCCGGACCACCAGATACATTTAATTGTACCATATTGAAGTTAATTGATTGTTCGTTCTTTGATAGTGTTAGTGTCCCCATGTTCCTGAGACTTTATATTACAATATAAACATCACACATAGCTCTGACAAGGCGTTCATTTTGCGTTACGTATTGCGAGGTCTTCAGGAATTATGAATTATGCGATGATCATTCAGTTCACCGTTTAGATAACTTATCTTTAAAACAGGAACTATCAATAGCTTTTTCTTTCAACAACATTAATATTCTTCCATTTACCGAATATCTAAAATCATTCAAAGGTTCTTTTGTATACTAGTCGTAATAACCATTACATTATATGATATTCTTCTCTTCGTACATTACGCATGTCCCTTATTAAGTAAGGGGAGTTCATGCCTTACCTCTACAATCACAAGATAATCACTGTTTTTCAAATCTCGTCAGAAAATATTATTTTGCGTATACGACATGCAATTAAGCGTTTCTCTGTATTAGTTAGCATTCCTAGTTATTGTTAATTACTTGGCTCTCATTATGATAACGTGACATCGTCTGTGAAGCAAAAGACGACTATCCTTCTACAAAATATAGTGGTATTCAAATATCTTTTTCTTAATTTCTCTTCAAGAACTATTTTGAGGGATGCCAAGGTCGGGACCCTTAGTTTATCTTCCCTTCCTTACATCATGGTATCTCACGCAGTAGGTCTCTTTCTTTTCGTTCGTAAATTCATTTTCATTTCTTCACACTATAAATATCATTATTTCAATATTATGAGGAGAAAGTGTGCATATGATTGTAAATTAAACATTTTATTCACCAATTGAGACCCTATACATTAAATATTTGCACATTGTACAGTAAAACAACGGCAGCAATATGCAATAAACAAATACATTAAGACAATGAAACACACCTGTACAAAATACATTTTACAGATAAACGAACTTTGATTTCATGCATCAAAGCTCCATGAACCTGCTGGCATCAGGTAAAGAATTGGAAAAAGTATCATGATATTACTTTTATCATTCTCATACAAATATGTATACTTGTTCACATATACACACACAGGCATGCAAACATTTTACACATCTACGAATTTGTGCATCCTTTCACACATGTAAACACAATTTTCGTATGTTTAATTTCAGAATCAACTTGACCAAAACTTCCATTTTGTTTAGTTTTCTATACGGGATTTTCGCAATATTAGGCCCCATCATGAAAAGTTTTCACAGCTTATCATTTTGGATAATGCTTAAATCGCCAGGTGCTATGTCAGAGGTTACACCTTCGCTTTAAGTAGATGTAGAACAAGAACAAACTGACGGAGGGGTAGTCCTGAGGTCATCTACATTCAGTTGTTGCAGTGTTTGTTTGTAGTTGAAAAGTTTGGCTGCAATGTGCTGAAAGTAACTGTAGGAAATTAGGGGTGTTCCTTTCTTGAAAATATGGTTCGATATTAGCCTGAACTGATTTCTGGTGTAAAATATTGCCGATGTTAATAGCATCCCCTTTGGCTTATTTCAAAACTCAACTTACTTAAATTGGCGAGATGCAACTATCCCTAAGTCTCCAAGATAGTTTGCGTCATCCGAAACAGTATTAGCTGAATCTACTTGAAAGTTTTGTTACAAAGGAAGAGGAAGCGTAAAGGATGGACATCAAATGGTTTCTCTTCAAATGTGGCTATATATGTGCTAGATTTATTGTAATTGTTACTTCTAATTTGAGGAGTGAAAATAGCCATAACGTCAGAAATACTTTATTGAGGACTTGCAAAATGTCAAACAGAATCAACATGGCCATTGCAGCCATGTGGTGCAGCAGTGCCACGGAGTCTGACGCAGTGTTTCTTACCTTGTCTTCACGTAAGTGTTACTGCCTCTGAGACTTGACAAATTTCCTTTCAATGGTATGAGACGACGGCATAAGAATTGTGCAAGAAGCATGCTGGCAATACCTTATAGTGACATTTTCATTTAAGCATTGATGTCATTTTTTTAGTTTCATAGGGGTATGAAAAAAATGTTTGTAAACTGTATGAATGTTTTTTTTTTAGTTTTAGATTATTATACAAAGGACACACGAATAAACAGCACTTTTAAGACAATTTTGAGTTGGATACATTAGAGCCAAACAATGAGTAAGACCGCATCATGCAGCTGTTTTTGTCCTTTTATGACTTCTATTAAAGTAATTTTTATTGATATGTCGTTAAATCCTTGTCCATGTTGATATATGAATAAACATGGCAGTCATATCTTATAAACAATATTTATTCTTTAAACTATATATTCGTGGAGCATTATGGCAAAAATTGAAACGAATAGTAAGTGCGATAGCTACACCATTTTTTCGATATGTCTTAAAAATAAAAATGCAGTGATGAAGTCGATGTATGATGAGGTGATATCAAAATCAAAATGGCCAGCTCTGTTTTTATTTAAAGAGAATTAAATTAAAGATGATATTCATCAATTTAAAAAATCGATTTATTCGCTATGTCATTAGTTATTGATAATGAAGCAACATGCACCAGTGAAGACTACGGAGATCAGTAATGATAACATTAATACTGTTTATCTATGTAACACTTATTAATGTTATCAGCTGACTAACCTTATTCTTCAGTCAACACGTTGGTCAATAATCATTTTGAAATAATGGAATGATCTGCCAGGCACCTCTAAGAAAATCTTTAAAACCCAAGAACAAGTACATTGTACCTTCAAAAACAGTTTTGAATTTTGTAGGTGTTTTAACCATACATAGCACTTAAATGATACTTTAGTGTTGTTATCCTGAGCGGAAGAAGGAAAGAAAGCAAAGCAGTCTAAGCATATGTCAATATCATGAATGGATGGGTTTTTTTTAATGTTTCTGTAGAATCTGGTAGATATTGGAAAGGTAATTACGCTAAAAGGCAAATATAGCTTGAAACGTGTCAGGTGTCAGAAAACACTATAGCTGTGATTCGCTATTGAAATATCGATTTCACGTCATATCTGTTTGAACAGTAAGTCATTATCGATTAACTTTGGAACATAGGCATACAAAGAGAAAATCCAAACGCTTGACTTAACTATGTAAATAGATTTGATCAATATACTGTTACTGTTCATTGGCATGAAATTTAACATATTAATCAATGAAAAAATCCTTCCTATTCGACTGTACCAATGGAACTCCGGATATTTAAGAAATATCTAGATGTAAAAACTCTTTATATGATATAATGCATTTCTTTCTTATCTTTGTAACAACCTCGCAAATTTGCAATTATATAATACGATATAAATAAACAGATATTACAACATTAGAACACGTTGTTCAGATAATGAGTTTATGATTGAATTTAGGATAAATCAATGACGTGTGACTGAGGAAAATTGACAGAAAAAATTTAATTAGTATGTACTCAAAACCGTTACTTATGTGTGAACTTGCTAATTGGCTACAGGTGAAATTTTGAGAATGTATAGATTGATGGAACATAGCACAACAATACCCGATATACATCCATATATAGCTTTGAAATGTTTATTGTGTGTAGTACTGATTTCAAAAAATCATTTCACTTGATAACAACTATGAAGTAAACTAAGATGTCGAATCACTTGAATAAATTGCCTGTTGGTAGCGGAACTTTTGTGTTAATGTACTTGTAACAATTTTTACCATTTTAGAACTAAGAACGGAATCACAAATCCTAGCACGAATACATTACAATTTGGTTGCATGTATTAAATGCACGTGTTATTCTTCTTACACCCAAAGCAGTATAAGAGATGTAATAATAGCCTATACATTGAACGATCTGGTTGTATTGTGTTTATTGTTAATAAGAATCGGAACTCAAAGGGAATAGGGATGGGGAGGAATTGTGAATGAACAGAGATATAGTAGTTACTAATATCAACCTCACTCAAACTAAAAGGTTTGTACGTCATGGCACACACTTTCTTACTTTCTATTTCCTTGAAATTACACTGTATACACCACAGCTATGATGTCATCAATTCTTATTTGTGTATTATACCTAGTCATGAATGAGTGATTTCATAATTTTCCAGGAATCCTTTACATTTTAAAGTCATGCCAATATGAATATACATCATACAACTGCAATTTGCCTGCTTATTTCTTCAATGAGAGGAGCTGAAAACCAAAACTATTGTTGACTGTAAGAAGTTGAATGTTGAATGAAAATCCATGGTATACTTTTCCATCAAAATTTTTGTCAAGTCCTCTCGTGTTGCTACGTGTGCAGTTTGGGAAATAGAACTAAGAAACAGTAGCCACATCATTTTTGTGTCGATTCTCATTTAGTTATAAATTTACTACTATAATACGTCCGACGAATCACTAGGTCGTACCGTTACTGATCAGTATTACTTATTTTGTAGCCATTATTTAAAATCCCATAAGAACATTTTCATCTGAATAACCCATATCAGATCGATTTCTTCATACAACTAATGAGTGGAAAGAGAGCAGATATTAAACGTTAGTATATCCACCTGATTTGGTAAGAAGAAGAGAACTATTAAAATATAAACAAGCAGAATAAAACTAAGTGTTCCCGGAAGAGTAAGCGTCTTCTGCTTCATCGACAACCAATTGTTCCAGAAGAGTAAACGTCTGGCGCTTCTAACGAGAATCAAACACGTCCAGCTTCATTTCGCACAAAGAAATGGTAGATTTATAAATGTGATCATTATAATTTTCATCATCCTGCATCATTTGAAACTCTGAGTGTGTCCGTCAATTCATTTTACTTCATTTCATTTCAACAAACTTTATTGACAAAAAATGTTAATGTCAGTGTGGATTGAATAACAGGCAAAGCCTATAGACATTTTCTCCACAATATTGAAATGAAAATAACACAAAATAATTAATATAGAAAATAAAGGCGATAACTCTCACACATTATACACACTATACTATGTATATATACATTGATACAGATACAACATTTTTATAATATCCTTTATACATTGAATTATATAGTCATCAAAAGGTCCTTGTGTCCCCTGTATCCGTCATTTGATGTCTTCCTGCAAGATAAATCGTAATAATGGGAAAAGCCCCTTGAATATTGAATCAGCTGCGACATGTGAACACCATAGGTTGGGGATTCAGGTATGTTGCCATCCGGAAATGGAAAATACAACAGTACGTTAATTGAAATCAACACGCTTATCTTACAGCTTGGTGGAAAACTGTCGTGGTTGGTTTCGTTGTAGAAATATATCGGGATAAGTGGCTGATGTAGAAGAGCCTGTCTTTGATTTCCGATTCTGGTTGGTTATATAACGGGCGTGGTCAATACATTCCTTGTTGTTTAAAGTTAAGACGTCATCATTATATCTGAAAGTGAAATTAAACGACTTTGCAAGATGTTTGTGGTCTGTTCTGGTAAGCTCTTCCATCAATTCAGCCTCTAATGAAAAAAAGGAAACAGGTCTGCGAGCAGAGAGGGCTCTAATCCCCATAGGTATACAAAGAGTCTGTTGGAAGATCTTACCAAGAAACTCGACGAAGATGTTGTCAACAAGAAACTTGATCATTTTCATTATTTCGTAATCCCTATATTTCTACTTTAACTTTATCTTTAACGAAATACACTCCAGTAGTAAGTTCACAACCATTTTTTTTGTACCACCGTTCAACTTTCTTCGGAAAGAAAGCTCCGATAACAAGAAAACGAAGGCTTTCTTTCAGCTTCGAAGAAACAATATCCCGTATGAAAAGAAATCACAGCTTATTGGAACGCCAAACAATCTGAAATTATGCAGGTACATGAGTTACCATTCATTTCCGAAACTTGATTGTATAACAAAATGACAACTAAAACCAACGTCTTCGTGATTTCATGATATACTTATTGTTTCCCTTTTTTCTTTCTTTCTTTTTTTTTCTTTCTTTCATTCTTATTCGTAAATGCGTTAAATGTATTAAAAAACATGAAATATCATGTAAAAACATATAACAACTTCAATATTTGTTTTTACCAGCGTCTTTATTATGATAATATTATATTACATGTTTTTAGTAGTTCGACTTAATCTACATATTATTTATTTGAAGTAAATACAAAATAAGCCACTATTTTGTTACATGCGGAAATTACTAGAAATGTAACAAAGAAGAAAATATCGAGAAAATTTGCCACAGTATGCCATGACGTGTTGCTTTTAAAACATTTTTGAGTGACACTGTTTCCATTGACAATACTATCACTGTTCCATTCATAATCCTTTTCATATCCTGTGTCAGTTTTCTCAGCTTTCCGAGTTTTTGTCGAAGAGTCACCCAAACAAACGATGTCTCCATTGTTCAGATCCTGTTCAGTGTGTTTTTTATCGATACTACTTAGGTCTGTTTTAGTTTTAAAACAGCCACCTTTACATATCATGTTTTGCAGCCATGATGGAATGGTATGGTGCTTTGGTTTATGATGCAGTCTCGAGACCAAAATGGTACAAATTGTCACAAAGGTATTGACACAGAGCTCTGCTGTCAATAGATAACACAACCGAGGGAAAGAAGGTTCGCTGGTTCCCGGCAAAGTGTCGGCCACAATGGTCATAAACACGGCAACAGCCAAAAGAACAGTCACGGAAAAGCCAACACGTTCCCCAGACTCGGCAGGAAGAAGGAACACCATTATATTCAACAATCCTAAAATACTGAACGGTACTATCGTATTTATAACTTGAAACATTGGTCTTCTCTGCAGTACGGTTTCCAGTATCAGCGTTTGTGTTGTGAAGACAGGATCAACAATCAAATTGGCGTTTTTCACATCCCAAAGACTGTTGGGTGAATAATAGTCTAAATTAATGTAAGGAGACCTTGGCTCTAAAAAGACTTCATATGTGGTATGCATATATACTGCGAAATGCAATGAACATATTTGCTGATCAAAAGGATAATATGTTACATCTGATGGACATGTGACATCATAAATGTCAGGTGGAGACCAATTCACGATTCCATCTTTCCGAACTAAGATCTTTAGATCGTCAAAACCGGGAGATTGAAGTTTCTCATAAGGATTCACAAGAAGGATGTCAGGTTTCCACAAAGAGCTCTGCGGAAAAAATGTATATTCAATTCCACCATAATTATCAGGATTCCATACCAATTGAAAATCATGCCAGGTCATTGAAAACGCTCCAACAACAGAAAATTTGCTTGACTTCTCTTCAAATTCCTTTAACGAGAGAAGATAAAATCCAATGTCCACTGTCGTTGGAATGGACGAGTTAAACGTCGGACGCAGTACTTTGGTATAGTTTGTCATCAATGTTTGGTGAAGCAATCTGTAATCCTCATGTGTAGCTGCGTTTGACACAGAAATATACGCAAGCACTAGTAACCACAACATTTTTGTTTCGGATGTCATGTAGATGACATAACACTGTTTCCAACGCTTGCCTATGTAAACCTGTCCTATCGATGTATTTCTATATAGATATAATCAAATTTATAAATGATACCTATGATCTCATTGGCTAAAACATGACAAATGCCTGATCGCAGAAGATTGGCATTGCTTTAACAAATCAATATGTAGAGATGCCTGTGGTTTGATAGGGAATGAATTAAATGTAGTTCGTTGTTTGTCAAATGGATGTGTAATCTCGATATGATACACATAAACTAGCTAGCTTATTATCGAAGTTGATATTTTTCATAAATCTATTTGACATGACACTTTAGAACAAAAAATATCTGGTATTTTCATACGTTATTTGTATATGATTGTAACATTTACATTTCTTAAACAAAAATGTCTAAAAAATGTTTTATTGTTAATGTTCATGTTTAAACATAAAGATATTTCGTTGGTGATAATTTTCTTGATATAATTCTGTTTTAGTTTGAATTCTGTTTATCTCAATTCTTATTGCTAAATCGACTCAAGAATAGCGATATGCCTATATAGGATACTGCAGTAATGACAAAACCCTATTACAAATAAATGTAACTAAATGAAGGGTTTTCAGGATATTAACAAAAACATTTTGACATTTCATCAATTGAGATATTTTAGTAAATATATGTTTGATTTAAACTACGAAACGCGGTTAATGCTTTCCCTACTTTCTTTAAAGAGCCAGACCCACTCCTCGACCGATATTATTTTATGTTAAAAAAAATCATGATTTTCAATTTTTCTCGGGTAGCAAAAATTCTTACTTACCCTGTAATACCACAATTTTAAAGTAAATCGCTATCAATCTAACGTAATAAATAATTTTAAAAAATAATTCGAAACGACTCGGTGCTAATTCATAATTATGTGGGAAGTCCTATCCTCTGACACATGCGCAAAGACCTGTAAATAAATCTGCCGTCTTCCAACATGGCAGAAAGCGTGCGTGGGAAGCGGGGAAGAAAGGGTGTTTTGACGGAGGTGAAAAGAAGGAAGATGGCTGGTTCATACTCTGTATCGCTCTGTTTTGCTTTCTCGTGTAGTAGCAATCTAAAATCATATTCATAAATACTCTCATCATCGAATATTCGCTTTAGACATTTCCATTTCTCTATGTTCTATATGTTCGTTACCGTATCGTAGATCCCATTTGAGGGCCTCTTCTTTGCAATTAATCGTAGTTTTTCTCGCTCGTAATCTGCACGTTTTTGTGTCGTATCTTAGCATTTAAAGATGTGATCAATACATACGTTAGATGATTTCCATACAGGATATATATAAACAATAAACTGTTACCAGATGGGATATACAGTGGATATGAATCCCATCCGGTTGGGAGATAAATATTTATTGTTTATATTTCCATTTTTAGACATGTATTTCGATCAATAAAATGAAAACACGGAATACAACGTTTGAATTTCCCGCTTATCGTAGGGTTGATTCATCAGATCAGTTAACGGAAGGAGCAATGATATAGTTCCTTAAAATATAGTTCCATATGGAGTAAGAAAAAAAACCACATACAAACAGAACTTTTGTGATGACGACTTTTATCTGGAATGTTATTGTTATATTTAAATTAATTTAAAGTAATAAAACACAACTATAAAAAAAACCAGACGAGTAGCTATGCGAACTAATATTGTCGTAAACAGTAGTGATGCGTCAAACCACGAGGCGATGCAGCCATGTTTGTTTACTTTTGGTGACACCTCACCTTGACTAAGAATGTGTATTCATACGCTTGACCAGATGGGCGTGTATAGCCTGATATACTCCCATCTGGTTAACATAGAGTTACAGGGGGAAATGATAGTAGAATGGAAATATAGAGTAGTGATTGCATTTACCGGTAAAATCTCTTTACAAGTGATGTCACATGGGCGTACTAGTCACCTCTTCCTCCATTTTTGTTTTGGTTCTCACCGCGTCTGAACGTATCACGTGAGTTTTCCTTATCAATATTCATATCCTGCAGTTGATCAATAAGGTACCCTTTCAATCTCAAGTTCGAAACTTTATACAAGTCTTTATTTATATATTATCTATTAGTATACAACAACATTTCCAGTCAAGGAAATATGAAAACATATCTATAACGCAGTTGGTCTGGCTCTTTAAAGTAAAAATATAAAATGATTACCACCTTAAATTTGGTTTTACATTATTTTTCGTTAATACATTTTAATTGGTATGTCTTTCCGTTCAGTAGTATTGTCCGAGTTATAGTTACATAATGTAGTCATGTGACTCGACGATGTATACCATTAGTTTACCCACTTCGGTATAAATCCGACGCACATCAAACCAATTTAAAATATCCTTCTTTTAGTGATGAGTTGACGTGCATGGATGTTTAAATAGTTGATCAGTAACAGGTAATAAAATTGATCAAAATGTTTCACTTTGCAAACGTATCGTCCCACCACCTCTGTCATGGCCAGTTTCAGACATATTGCTTTATTTTCTATACAATCCCAATATTATAGAAATATGCTACTGTTCTTTATATTCTGATATAGTAATCTGATACAAATGTTAAATTTATTGTTTATATTGATGATAGGGATACGCCGTCTCTATATACGGTCTCTTGATTAATGCATCATTTAATATTTTGAAAATCTTCAGTGTCGACGCAGTTAAGAGCTGCATGGAAAAGGGAATAAGATTGATACGAACATGAATGAGTGCAGTTTTGTATCTTTTCAATCGTGCTATACATTTTGCATATACATCTTTACACCTTCAGCTATTCCCATCAAGCAGGCCGTTTGAATGCAATTTCGTTGTATAATTTGACTTTTAATACATAAAAAAACAAGAAAATACCAACAGATCTACATGATGGTAATCTAAACTCCAATTCAATGAAACTACGGTAACGTATGAACAAAGAAAAAAAATCAAAGGAGATCCTGAAAAAATATAAGGAGTAAGCGTCTTCTGCTTCATCGACGACGCTTCATTATTATGACATTAAAATAAAAATACTACATTATCCCATCTGATCATATATATATATATTGATGAACTACCTATGAAGATATCAAAAGTGAAAAAGTTATTTTCTCCATTTAGTTCACAACCAATACAATATTAATGTCATGACTTAACAAAATGGGGATTTAATGCATCTAATAAATTTAACCTTAGCTTAGTGTAATGCAAAAACATATCATAACGGCAATGCTTGGTTTTACCAGCGTCTTTATTATTATCTAAACATTAATCATAAGGTATCTTTCTGAAATAGGAAAGACTCAATCTACAAGATTCACTTCACACATATTTGATTATTTGAAGTAAATACGAAATAAGCCATTGTTTTGTTACATCCGATTATCACCTGGAAGAAAACAAGGAGGAAGATATCGAGAAACTTTGCCACATTATGCCATGATGTTTTGCTTGTATAGCATGTTCTGCTTGTTTGAGTCATACTGTTTAAATTGACGATAATATCATTGTTCCATGTCAGTTTTCTCAGCTTCCTGAGGCTTGATTGCCAAGGCTTCCAAACAAACGAAACCTAGATTGTCTTTGTTCATGTGATATTCCTTAATGCTTCTTATTTCGGTTTTGAGTTTTTACAACAGCTGCATTTGCATATCATGTTTAGCAGACATGACGGAATGGTATGATGTTTTGGTTAATGATGTAGTTTTATACCAAAATGGCACAGTTTTTCAAACATATTGACACAGAGCCCTACTGTCAATAGGTCACACAACCGAAGGAATGATGCTCACTGGTTCCTGGTAAGGTGTTTATCATGTGACATTATAAATGCTCTGAAAAAACACATACTCAATTCAAAATCTTATTATCAGTATCCCATAACAATCGAAAATCATGCCAGTTCAATGAAAATGCTCCAACTAAAGAAAATTTGCTTGAATTTCATATAAGCGCCTTTAATGAAAGAAGGTTAAAACCCATTGTCCACTTTTGTTTGGGATTGAAGCCACAGAACCGTGGTGTAACTTCGTTTGTCACTGAAATATACGCAAGTAATTGTAGCTACAACATTTTTGTTTCATACGTCGCTCAGTGAAGATAACAAAATGTTCCTATGACGTATGTCTTTGTATAAGAGGACATTTTCATGCTTTCCGTAGATATTATTATGCTGCCAAAACTAATGACGACACAAATTGATATAGCTTTAAAGGATGTTCAATTCAGACGCTTATGTTTAAGATTTTAAGAATTAAGATAAAAGGAAATTTTGGTGGAGTATCCATTAGCTTGCTTTGGCAGTAATCAGATGATGTTAATTATTCATGTTATTGTGATGTATTTTACTATATCATGCATGTAAATCCGGAATTTCCTTGTCCGGCTCCTGAAAATAGTCCCGCCCAGCTCAATAATGAAAAAGTAGTATGATGTGTGATATAATCTGTGAAAAACCGTTTTGGGTCAAGACACGACAGTTATATGAGTTATGAAACATTATGATCAGATTTATTCCGTTTTAATTCGTACTTAGTTAGCCAAGTTTTACGTATACAGTATTCTTCAAAGCTTTCAACTTCTCAACGATTTGAACGATATCAGTATAAAAGCAATTACAAAACCAGCTGATCGCTTATGTTAATGACTCGTGTTGGTCCGGACAGAGGCACGCGAGGATCTTGCTATGGCAGGCGTACCCATGTAAAAGCCATATGGCCAGGTGGGTCTCCCCATACCTTTTTACATGAGATTGGAGAATAGAGTCCCGATCACACAGGTCAAAGGCGACTGTGTCACTATTGCTCCACCCGGCCTCTGTTTATCAATATTACTTTGTTTGCCTGAAATCGATCTTCTTTCCTCATCACTCATTGTTAACTCTACTTCATCGAAGTAATGAATCAGAAATATAATTTGCTTGAATATGTGTAATTTATTTAACACTCCAGGGAAATATCAGTTTGTTTAATCGCTCACTACACCGGCCGTTTCAAATCATCTACTCCATCGAGTAACACTTTCCAAAATCAATCAAAATCACAGTGCAATGTCAATCATCTGCAAAAAAAATCAATACCAACTCTTCAAACCAATCAGATAAGACCTTTTTCATAACTAATTATGATTAGAGATTTTCTGAATGAGCCATAAGTATATTCCCCTTTAAGGGTACAAATGGCAATTATTATTTCATGACTACAATATACGGGCAATCATGATGTGGCTACTTTTGCTTCTCGCCGTTTCCACTACAACGACATATGGGACAACACATGAAAACTTGACCAGACTTTACCAAACGTTGACGTCAAACTATAATAAGGAGTTACGTCCCACGTCAGATCTCTCACAGCCAACAAGAGTGTATGTCGGCTTTCAGATTTTGTCTTTGAAAGAATTCGACGAAAAGACAAGTAAGTTTGCCATTGTTGGAATGTTTATATTTTCCTGGATTGATTTCCGAATGAAGTGGAATCCAGATGAATTTGGTGGTATTGAACAAATATTTATCCGCCAGAGTCTTCTTTGGACACCTGACATGATATTATTAAACCCATACGATAAAATTGAGCCTCCAGGATACGACAGCCTAAGAATCACAGTGAATTATTATGGGACTATGCTTTGGGTACCCCCCGATGTATTTGAGGTCACATGTCCAGCTGATGTTAAGTTTTATCCATTTGATCGACAAATGTGTTCCTTATATTTCTCTGCGTTCATGATGACTGTATCTGATGTATTCCTTGAATCAATGCCAACGAACATGATTTTAGACTATTATTATCCAAACAGCCTTTGGGACGTAACAAATGCTAATATGTCTGTTGTTACTGAATTGGAAAGCCAAACATTTGTGGTAACAATGTTTTTACAACGTCGACCGATGTTTCAAATAATAAATACCATAGTACCTTTTAGCATTCTTGGACTTTTAAACATCATGGTTTTTCTTTTGCCATTTGAATCTGGTGAACGAGTTGGATTTTCTGTCACTGTCTTGCTAGCTGTAGCTGTGTTTATGACAATTGTAGCAGACACTCTACCAGTAACAAGCGAGCCTTCTTTTCCTCGACTGTTTTATATACTGACAACTGAACTCTGCGTCAATGCTCTTGTGACAATTTCTACCATCTTAGTCCTAAGATTGCATTATAAACCCGATCACCAGACAGTTCCTCTATGGCTGAATTATGCCATATGCAAATGTATTTGCTCCCATCGCAATCGGAAAATTGAAAATGCCACGGAAATAAACATGAAGAAAGATTTGAACAATCAAGCCATCATTTCTATTGATAACATTACGTCAAAGAATCATGATGCAGAGAGGAGTATTACAAAAAGTGAAAACGACCATAAATGGAACAATATTACGGTACAAGATAACCAGATGACTGAAACAAAAAGAAAACAGTTTTGTGATAAAACATCATGGCGGAGTTTTGCAAAATTCCTCGATGTCTTTTTATTTGTGATGTTCTTCATCTGTTTTGGTTCACTCAAGATAGTCGCCTATTTTGTATTTTCTCAAGCTAACAACTCGATATCTGATTCTATTTGACCTGGTAAAGATGAGTGTTTGATGTAATATATCCTTTGGCACATATCACTATCCAGTAAGCACAAATATTACATTTGTTAGTTCCAAATTGTCACTGTATTTTTTTTATACGTTTCAATGGCATTGGACCAGAATAGACATGTGGTGTCTTATATATAAAGAGCGTCACTTGCAAAGTAATATCCGTTTTGTTGGAGAGATCTTTTTATATGAAAGTTTACAGAGATTACGTTTTATTTCAAAACACTTATACATGAAATAAATTATCAAAGCAATGACATTTCATTTCCTCATGTTTTTTAAGTACAAGCATAATCGTGCATTTTGTCATTAATTCGCTAAGCAAGCATACATTATATTAATATGTCTTTATCAATGTTACGTCTGCCTTTTCCTTTAAGGTATATTTTCAAAAATGGAAGATTTAAGGTTGACGGATTGATTGATATTCCAAGTCCAAGAATGATTCGTTCAAGTACATTGTTTAGCCGCATTGTGTTCGAACACACTTGTATTACGACACCGTGTGTTCCTTTTCTCAGAATGATTTCGAGCAGTACACCTTGTGGATAATCATGAACATGTTCCATGTAATCATTGTGTGTAGTTTTGAATTATTGTGATCACGTCTACTCTTAAATAGTAATGATAGCTGATTTTAGTATACCGACTTGTAGAATATTTCAAAAAGGTACAGTAGGCCCATATCATAGACTGATATGTTTAAATTGAAAATTGAAACGTAATATAATCATTTAGAATGATTTTGATTTTCGTATGATCATTATTTTTCTGTGATTTTGTATCATTATCCATCGTTGTCTTATTGTTTATGTAGTTTAAACAATATTTGTATTCAATATTCAGCAATTTTAACGCATACACGTGCACATGATACATATGGGATGGGAAAACAGGCTTCGAGCTTGTATCAATTACTTCCCTTATTATTTATTTGACCAACAGTATTTTTATCGCCTTTGTTAAATATATTTCTGACATTAATACCATTCATACCATTGGAAAAATATTTTTGAAGAAAATGTACCTAACATAACGATATTCACTGCAAGTACTTAAAAATCACATGAATTAGCAAATAAAATTGTTTCTACATCTAAATGAATTGTACCCCATATTCACAAGGCGTTGGATAGGCTATAGAAATAAAAGCTATAGAAGTGATTCACATACTTTTTAAAATTTTTATTCCAGTAACTTTGGCATATAAGTTATATTTCAAAAATAACGTATAAAAGGTATTATTATCAGACTTATATTAATCAAAACGGTAAAAATAATGTTGATCAAATAAACAAAGAAAAATAATTCATATAAGTTCTAAGCTTGTTTCCCATTCCATAAGTATCATGTTTATTTGTTCAATAGAAATATTGTATAAACAAAATAAACAATAAGACAACGATACCTATTGTTATTAAGTGTATCACTATCACGTTGAACCTGATTAAACCTGATTATGACAGGTGTTTATTTAAACATGTCCTTAGTTGTATATATTCGTGACATTTAGTAACTGCATAACGTGATGTATTAACAATGAGATAGGCCTGTCACTACACGTTATGCAAGAGTTGAAGGGAACTTGTCTCATAGTATCGGTATATAAAACTGAATGACGTCAAATCATGTATTTTTTTCAAATCTAAATTATGATTGAAAATCAACAAAGGTAAATTAACACCATGTCAAATAGTGTTATCTCCAGAAAAAAACATTCGGGTTCAAAATGAAGTAAAGTCTCTAAAAATGATGTTGTATTTACTGAACAAAAACACAACTTCATTAAATAAAGATGTGAAAGGTCTCCGGGGGTAACAACGCTGAGTTTATTAATCAATTTTAGATCGCTATTTCCAGACATAGATAATGGGCATGACAAGCAGTTTTAATGGGTTTAGTTTAGTGCCATCAGACACCTTTAGGAGAATAATTGATGTTTACTCATACACGCTATTAACTATGAAAAGACATTTCATTGATTACTTTAGTCGATTGTCTATAACGAAAAAGAATTCTAGTTGGTAATACATCCATTATTTACCTTCGAAATAGCTTTAGCATTATACATGTTTGTTATTCAAAACGGTCACAAATCAAAGGAACAAATACTACTAATGGATGTATTACACATAGGTGATATCATTGATTCGTAACGAGGTCACTGACATTGATCAATGTGGGTCTCGTATCTACGAAACAAAAAATAAGATCTGTTAGTGCAATAAAATACAAAGGTTTCTTTATTTATGTCATTTTAGATCGAGTGCTTACTGCAAAACAAATACATCAAATGTTTTATTTGCAATATATTTGTATGCTATGGTTACTTTGAATAAAGCAAATATTGATTTAAAAAATAGCATACATTATAAGTATGTATCGTTTGAAATGTTCTGTAAAGATACCTTATTTGGGCATGGTGAAATGAGATTATGTTCTGTTATTATCTGGATGGTTTATCTTTGACTTCCAAATGTTTATCTTAACTGTATCATAACCTCAATTTTATTGTATCATTTTTATTGCCATATTTTGAATTCAGATAATAATTATAAATTCTGACGCTCAGAAACTAGTCAATGTTTAACAAACTTGTGTGTGGTGGGGGATGTGTGGTTGAATGGGGGATGGAGGGGGAGGGAGGGGGTAAGATGACGAAGTGGAAGGGAGAAGGGGAGATGATAAAATTTTAAACAATCATCAAACCTCGTGGTGTTCGCTGACTAAAGCAGCCTTTCTCTCAAGATAAGATAAACAACCTCACCTAATAGTCAAATGGAGTGAGATATTGTATTAATCTATTACTTTGGAGTATCCTTTCTACCTATTATATATGAAATATACCTCAGTTGGCATCTATAGTCCACGTCCAGCGAATTGCCGTTGACAGTTTAAATGTAGGACCTTTGAATCGAAATTACAGCCTTCCAAGGGGGCATTTACTACATTCACTTTGAGAACTGTTTTGGAGTTTTTAATGTATCACAATCCATGGTTTGTTATGTAACAGATCTTAGTGCAAAATATGTGTAAATATACTTTACAATGGTTTCCATCAACAAGTATCAACCACAAAACCATGTGTTGTTTCATAAAGCAGACAAAAGTAGAAATTCAATTATCAGAAAAGCGAAAGCCTGTCAAAAGGATTTTCAAGGATTACATTTTTCTATCGTGTGATTATTTCCGTTGTTCTTGAACTACTGACAAACTGAACAGGTTTCATACTGTCTTGTTGAGATGTAGACAGTACTTGTAAATGTAATAAATCTAAGAAAGAATTCCGGATGTTGAACAAAAAGAGAAATAAATTTAAAAACTCAATGCAGTCATGAATTCACGTGATTACCTGTATATCGTGACCCACTGTCAAATTGACCACTTTGTATCTGTCAGTTAGTCGACGAACTACCTCTAAAACTCAGAAGAGAAAAAAAAAAGATTAACTATGAGTGGGCTGTGACGGGAACATTGGGACAAGATTATCCGCTCAATAAATCAATAAAAGAAGCCAAGCCATCAGTTTATAGCCAAACAGATTTTCAGATAAACCGTATACCCGCAATATACCGGACTCACGGGACCGCATAGACGCATAGATAAATCGTATACTTGCTATGAACCGGTCTCTCTTGAATACCTAGATAAACCGTTTACCCGCAATAAACCAGACTCACGGGAACGCGTGTACTCTCATCTGACTTACCCCTATCCTCCGCCTATTTTCTTAATACTTGCATAATATAGTAGAAAGACAAATTAGTAACACAAGATTTCAAATTCATCAAAAAATTATGGGGAAGTTGTATAGTCGTCATAGTGGTCTCGTTAAGAAATATTCTATTTCTTTGTGGGATATAAAACTAAACGTGTTTGATGTTCGTTATTTTGATAATTGATTCCGTTGATGTATGTCATGTTTTCGAAGAAGACGCATACTGTTTTGGAACACTTGGTCTTATTATCATTGTACTTTTATTGGAGACTCCACGTTATTCTTTATTTCGTTCAAATATTTTGCCCTTGTTTTATAGAATTTGAGGTTAGATTTTCTTGTTTTTTCATCTTAAACTAATGATAAATAATAAATTTTTAGATTTTTTTTTTCGATTTTGTGTCTTATTAAGTAGAGTATCATTGAAAGACGGTGGCTAAATGCTTTGGTGGTATTGAATTTATTCTTATGTCACATCCGGGTTGATTTAATCAATAAATGATTACAGATGAATCGTATCAAACGAAGACTTTTTACATCAAGAAAATGTTGTCATTTTATTCTAAACGTTAATTCTTCAAAATATACACAGATTCCATTAATAGATATATACTTCAAATATTCTTCACTGATTAGATTTTCAGATGCTATTTGCTTTTGTATTGATTGGCTCTACGTGGAGAAATTACGCACATTGCATAGCATCGTATGATGAATCACAAGTGGATCGCGTGATGTAGAGTTCTACAATTATTTACAAATAACAACTTTAAAAAATATCACAGATGTGAAATGCAAACGCATGTGTTCCTTATCTTAACCAAGAAAGATCAGGAAGTAGTATTTCCAGCTCTACTACAGAATGTGATAAGTTGTAGATAATTGTACGATGATCAATTCGCCTAATTATTAAATCGAATTCATTCTGTAGAAAAATCAAATGCCCTATTATTTTCGATCCAATCTCCATGTCAAAACATTTCGATCTCATCAGTGTCAAATAAGTAATATTCAAATGAGCAAATTGAGCTATAATTTAACACTGGTGGTATTTGTGTGAATTCTTACCCTGACGTCTATATATCACACAAGCTTAACAATTTATACACAAAAAATATTCTAAACGTAAACAAAATAAGCTGCAATATTACATGCAACGAATAAAACAAGAAAAAACAGAAAGAAAAAGCCATCGAGAAAGCTCGCCAAAGTCTGCCATGACGGCTCATTACAAACATATTTCCTTTTTCTACAAGCAAGGCAGTATCCGGTTTTTGTGTCGTCTCCCTTTAAATCATAATCGTTCTCCAATCTGATGTCTATTTCCTCTGTTTCAATAACAATGTTGTTTACATTGGTAACATCATTGGTGTATTTTGGATTTTCCTCTACATTTTCTATTTCGGTTTTGGTTTTAAAACAAACACAATTACTCATTAGATATTGTAACCAAGATGGAATGGTCTGTTGCTTGGGTTTGTGATGTAGTCTTAGTAACAAAATGGTAGAAATCGTAACCAACATATTGATGAAGAGTTCGGCTATCAATAAATAACATAGTCGAGGGAAAGAAGGTTCGCTGGTTCCAGGCAAAGTGTCCGCCACAATTGTCATAAACACAGCAATAGCTAACAGAATCGTCACGGAAAAACCAACACGTTCACCAGATTCGGCAGGAAGAAGGAACACCATGATGTTCAACAGTCCCAACATACTGAATGGTACTATAGTGTTTATGACTTGAAACATTGATCGTCGTTGAAGTACTATTGTCAGGATGAGTATTTCCGTGTCAAGTGATGGATGAATACTAGAGCTTACATTTACCAAGTGCCAGACACTGTTTGGGAAATAATAAATAGTTGTTATACCAGAGGATAATGGTTTCAACGTCACATCAAAAATGGTATACATGTAGACACCAAAATACAACGCACAAGTTTGCTGATCAAACGGATAATATGTAACATCTGCTGGACACGTGACCTCATAAACATTAGCTGGAGACCAGTACACAGATCCGTTGTAATTTACAATGATCTTGAGATCGTCGAAGCCAGCAGGTTCAACTTTCTCATATGGGTTTAAAAGTAATAGGTCTGGTTTCCACAAAGAGCTCTGTGGGAAAACTGTACTTACAATGCCACCGTAATCGTCCGGATTCCATTCCAACTGAAAGTCATGCCAATAAATCATAAATACTCCAAACATAGAAAATCTGCTGGTCTTTTCTTCAAATTCCTTTATTGAAGTAACATGAAAAATGACATTTAATTCTGTTGGTTGAGAGAGGTTAAATGTCGGGCGCAAATGTTTGCTGTAATTTGACATCAAGTTTTGGTGAAGTCTTTTCAGATCTACATGAGTGGCTCCGTAAATGGTTGTCAATGACATACAGAGAAGAAATAACACGGATGCCATTTTCCTTATTACATTGATACCTCCTGATTTCCAGACATATTTATCGCGTTCCTGTAGTAGAATAACTTGCGTTTACTGAAAAATGCTTTTCTTAGAGAATCAGTTTGTCAGATCCACACAGTGTTTGCCTGTCATTTATCTCTAACACTAAATTATCAAAAACATAAACACCCGGCAGAAACCATTGCTGTGAATGTGATGTACGTCACATTAACTTGTATTGAAGTCACCTGCTCTGATCGATGCGAAACTCGTATCTGCCTAACGATAATTCCCATATGTAGCAGCATTTGTTTGCCTTTGTTTTCTTTACTTAATTACAATCGTGTAAATAATTAATTTGGTCATTGCTGGTAGCATTTGTATTGTATATTAAGTGCATTTTACCTTAAATTTATTTTACAATTGTCACTTCATTAAATAATAATTATAAAATGACATAAAAATCTCACCAGCTAAAATATATCATTATTACATAATACGTCATGTGTGGCTCTATCACTCATTGCCATGTATATTTATAGTGGAAACGCTTAATAACAACTTTACTGTAACAAACTGTCTAGCATGACAGAGAAAAATCAAAAGCATGAAATACTTATACTTATAAATTATTACAATCATGTAGATTGCCAACTCAAACTGTTCAAACAAATCTTTGTGCAATTTTTTCTACAGCGATGCTAACAAGGTCCCTCTGTTGGCTGTCCTATTTTGTTTTCATACATGTCTGAATTTATAAAAGAGCATATTCGGAAAGGTCACAAAATGACCTTGCAAAGTCGTTTAATTTCACTTTCAGATGGACTAATGACGTCTTGTCTCTAAATAACAGGCGAATTATTGACAATGTTCATTGTATATATCCACCAGAATTGGTAATCAAGAACATGACAGACGCTTCTAAATACAACGAAACAAACATGGACAACTTTCCAATATAGCTGTTTGATAAGCAATCGAAAGCGTGTCTTGAATATCAGGTTTACCACGCATTTTTCCATCTCTAGCTTCAGGAAAAAAATGCGTCACACATAATGTTTAGTTAGTTTTTCCACCCGGAAAAAAGCAATTGTAATCCTGCATCCTGACTTAATTTTGTGAAAGTGCCATGCTGTAACTTCATGTAACTGCCGTCATCATACCATCGTCAATGGTAAATCTTAAAGAACAAAGGATTTTTTCCTATTGAAAAATGAATAAGGTCACTTATCATGGAACCTTCTTTTCAATACATTACTATAACAAAGACTGGATGTTTGGCGTCCTGCTACCAAACACACGTCATTTATCTACATACACAATATTATTCTGCAGCATTGCTATACACAATGTACATATTTTATAATCTCCTTAGAAAATAAAAACAGATAAATCGTCGATCAATAATTTTCAATTTTAAGCGACATTAAGTGAAACAATATCAGTATTAACGTTCACAATATGAAAACAAAATATTTTTGAAAAATCGAAAAATGAGTAAATGTTTGTTACAAGCAAAATCGATAATTTCTTAGATTTGTTTATATGTGTCTTTTTTCCAAGACAAGGAAACAATATAGTATTTCAACAATATCTCTTTTTTAATTCGATCTACGCGTCAAGTTCTTTTTCTGGTCAACAATGGCACACGTAATAGTGTCATATACAATTAGAATTATACCTTAAGGTATTATTTGTGTTGTGTCCTATTTATCATTATTCGTGTATGTAAACATTACGTCAAACTTTTCTAAGTATTTGTAATTTTGGGACACAAAAGGAGAATCCAAACACTAGGTAATAGTTTAGATTGTTTAATAGTCTATCTAATAGAGAAGTCTGGCTTGTAATAAATGTACTCATAATGTTTGCCTTCCATTTGGATCTAATATCTAAATAATTGCCACGTGAACTTTCAAATATCGAAACAAAACCAATTGCGTTTGTGTTAATGTGATATTCTACACCTTATTGACATATTTTCATTGTGTTGAAATTACTGGCACTGTTCGATGTGTTTAGATATCATAAGTATTGATACGATCAGTAGACGTTAATGTTTCGAGTAATTTATTTCATTGGTATCATCAATCATTTATATTATTATCGGCAACATGTGTATTGCAAAGCAAATTAAAAAGTTTTCTACTAATGTACATTGTCTGCAAATGTAAAATGTGATATCATTGTTACATAAAAGGTATTTATGTTATAATTTCCCTCGCGATAATTGAGTCACGACTTCAGCTGTTTTGGGTATGTTATTTATCAATAACAACCAAGAAAAACATACAGCCAGTAATGTAATTTTATTAAATGACGAATAACATGACAGACATGGTAACAACAATGTCAACCAGGATGTACAAACAACATAAACAATATCATAATTCTAATACAGCCAAAAAGATGAAGCATAAAGTACGCCACACGACTGCGATATTGGCAATCATAGTAGTCAAGCGCCATTTGAAAAATGTATATGATTTGAATCAATACCTCGTTACTATATATTGATGAAGTCAATCGGAATACTGATAGATGATAGAAGAGGTATCATTTGACCGAACTATTACGAGTCATAGCTAAACGAGGCAGTTTTAATGATCATTATAATATTGATGTTGTCCTTCATATCGGTATTTAGCACAACAATTAATAATCAACATATATCCCAAAATATTCGCTTTTTTTGTAGTATTCTTTTTAAATATAGGCACATAACAGTGTACTCTTTGTTTTGCTTCATGTATTTCCAAAAAAAAGAAATGTTTTGCTCCTTACCGGTTCATCCGGTTCTTATAATTTGACATATGTGTGTGTGTGTGTGTGTGTGTGTGTGTGTGTGTGTGTGTGTACATCATTTTTTCTGGAATATTTTTCCATTCATTTCAATTGTTCCCCACAGTTTTCTATGACAGACTTCATATTCGTAACATCTGTTTTACCAGTGTCAAATGATTTATACTCAAATAATATAAAACATATTGAGGTGCTTAGTATCTAGTGTGAAAAGCGAGAATACTATTGATCTTCATAGTCAGTATGAATAACCTGACGTCTACATAGGATAAAACAATCTTTTCCATACAAAATATTAATACGCCTAGAATATCTTAAATATATACAAAATAAGCTACAACCTTACATGAAACAAAGAAGACAAGAAACAACAGAAAGAAAAAGATATCGAGAAAGCTCGCCAAAGTCTGCCATGACGACTCATTACAAACATATTTTTTTCCTCTACAGATAGGGCATTTCCCGTTAATTGTGTCATCTCCGTTCAAATCAGAATCCTTCCTTACTCCTTTATCTGTCTTTGTTTCCTGAACCTTGGGTACAATGGTTTTAATTATGAAGTTATCTTCATTGCTAATACCTTGGATGTCTTCCTCTATAGGTTGGGTCTTGTTTTTAGTTTTAAAACAAAAACATATGAGATATTGCAACCAAGTTGGAATGGTCTGTTGCTTGGGTTTGTGATGTAGTCTTAGTAACAAAATGGTAGAAATCGTAACCAACGTATTGATAAAGAGTTCGGCTATCAATAAATAACATAGTCGAGGGAAAGAAGGTTCGCTGGTTCCAGGCAAAGTGTCCGCCACAATTGTCATAAACACAGCAATAGCTAACAGAATCGTCACGGAAAAACCAACACGTTCACCAGATTCGGCAGGAAGAAGGAACACCATGATGTTCAACAGTCCCAACATACTGAATGGTACTATAGTGTTTATGACTTGAAACATTGATCGTCGTTGAAGTACTATTGTCAGGATGAGTATTTCCGTGTCAAGTGATGGATGAATACTAGAGCTTACATTTACCAAGTGCCAGACACTGTTTGGGAAATAATAAATAGTTGTTATACCAGAAGATAATGGTTTCAAAGTCACATCAAAAATGGTATACATGTAGACACCAAAATACAACGGACATGTTTGCTGATCAAACGGATAATATGTTACATCTGCTGGACACGTGACCTCATAAACATTAGCTGGAGACCAGTACACAGATCCGTTGTAATTTACAATGATCTTGAGATCGTCGAAGCCAGCAGGTTCAACTTTCTCATATGGGTTTAAAAGTAATAGGTCTGGTTTCCACAAAGAGCTCTGTGGGAAAACTGTACTTACAATGCCACCGTAATCGTCCGGATTCCATTCTAACTGAAAGTCATGCCAATAAATCATAAATACTCCAAACATAGAAAATCTGCTGGTCTTTTCTTCAAATTCCTTTATTGAAGAAACATGAAAAATGACATCTAATTCTGTTGGTTGAGAGAGGTTAAATGTCGGGCGCAAATGTTTGCTGTAATTTGACATCAAGTTTTGGTTAAGTCTTTTCAGATCTACATGAGTTGCTCCGTAAATGGTTGTCAAATACGCTGAGAGAAGAAATAGAAAGAACGTCATTTTTTCGTGTGTTACTATCAACTGGCTTAGATAGAATAAGATTGATCAATGAATTTCCACGCAATAATACTGAGTGCATTAACTGGAACAATACACTTAAAGCTCAAATGACGTTAAAAATAGGATAAAGATTTATTGCAAAATATCGATTTGGAGGAAACAATAACCGCTCATTAAAACTGATAAACTGATATCCCCATAGGAAACGGAATAAAGGTCCGATGATTGAGTGGGTAGGTGAGTGAGTGAGTCAATCATTTCTTATTTGAATGGTTATCCTGGGTTGTAAACTACAACTATTCAATAAAATATCAACCTGTTGTGGCTTTAACATCAAAGCAGGTGATATTAAGTGACGGTGAACTGTTCTAAACACCATATTGATTTCACAAGGTAACCTTTTTCATCAAGAATTTTTTTAAATCCCAAGAGTTTTATTTGTACAGTCCATCCATTATATGAATAGATTGGTTGGGATGGCTTGCTGTTTGTCATTATAGACAAAACAGTCTTGAAAAATTTATTTTATTGTCATAATGGCATATCCAGACAAACTACTGAAATCAGAATCGCCCTCCATTACGTATGTATTGTTCTGTTCTATTCCCCTGTTGTATAGCATCTTTTTCTACATCCATCCACTTTTGAGGTGGTTTATAAAATACATGTAATACATTTATCATAAAAGAATAAAAACTATCCTAACCCGTTCGTACGGAAAGTTGTAGTTTTTTTTTTTTTTTTTTTTTTAATTTTCGTAACAAATCCAATACCAATGAATTAAACTGACATACATGTATCACAAACTTACATGCCTCCACTCTGTTTTAATGCCAATTTTTTTAAAGATGATTTTCTTATATTTCGGACTGAAAGTAATATAAAGTATACGAGGCATTGCAGTTGTAAATAAATTAAACCTGCATTTTGTTTTTAAAATTTCAAAATTAACACAGATATTATTTCTCACAAACGTTATCACAATCAATTTGAGAATTATAAATATTTTAGTGACAAGATCTCTCTACAGACTATCGGCATACATATAGGAACTAACTGTACCCTTGGTTTTTTTTTTTTTTCATACGACGCTGAATATATCGAAGAGCCTATCAAAACAGGCCATTAAGACCTTGAAAGGTCCTTTGATTTCACTTTCAGATATATCGAAGACATCTTGTCTTTAAATAGTTAAAAAAAATTAGCATTTATTGAGCACGTCCATCCTATACATGTACATTTATATCCACCAGATTTTTTATCTTCTACATCAGCTGCTTATCTCGATCTTTTCCTATACCAATACCAACACGGCAGCTTTTAGTATGGCTGTATGATAAGCGTTATGATTTCAATATCCTTAATGCGATTTTCCATTTCCTGGGTAGCAACGTCCCTGCGTTGACCGAAGTCTAAATTTTTGTGAAATTCTCTGTTTAGCAAAGGTTCGTGATTTGTTCGGGTAAACTGAATGACATATCTTAAAATATCAACTTACACTTAACACGAAATTCATCAATGAACATTTTGGTGTCAAAAAATTTAGGAATGATCAACATCAAATTTTGAAATTGATTCACTTCACAATTACCATCCATTTGGCATCATTTAGCCTCATGTCAATTGATGAAACAAAAATATGTTTTCGAAAAGATATACACATGTGCAGTGTAATTTAACAGAACACAAAGTAAGTGGCTATCATGCTTGATACATAAATGACAAGAAAGAAAAGAAAAGAAAAGACATCGAGAAAGCTCACCACTGTCTGCCATGACATTTTACTACACGTGTGTTTTACTCCTTTTCGAGGTCTGTGATTTACCTCATCTCCTAAATCAACATTCTTTGCTTCCTGAACAATTGATACAACAGTTTCTAAACTATCGATGTTCGGGTTATTAAGATCTTGGTTGTTGATGTTTTCATTTGAATTTATTAATTTGAATTTTGGATGGAAACAAACACATTTGCCTATGATTTTTTGTAGCCATGAAGGAATATTTTGCTGTTTTGGTTTATGATGCAGTCTTGATATTAAGATAGTGAAAACTGTCACAAGCATATTGACACCTAACTGTGCTATCAATAAATAACATAGTCGAGGGAAAGAAGGTTCGCTGGTTCCAGGCAAAGTGTCCGCCACAATTGTCATAAACACAGCAATAGCTAACAGAATCGTCACGGAAAAACCAACACGTTCACCAGATTCGGCAGGAAGAAGGAACACCATGATGTTCAATAGTCCCAACATATTGAATGGTACTATAGTGTTTATGACTTGAAACAATGGTCCTCTCTGAAGCATTGTCTTCATCAACAGTGTTTGTGAGTTATGTGATTCAATGATTGTAAAGCTTGTGTCTTTCAAGTACCAAAGACTGTTTGGCGAATAATCATCGGTGAATATGTGAGTTGATGATGGTTTCAAAGTAACATCAAACACTGTATACATATAGACACTAAAAAACAACGAACACGTTTGCTGATCAAACGGATAGTACGTTACATCTGCTGGACACGTGACTTCATAAACGTCAACCGGAGCCCAAAAAACAGATCCATTATTAATCACAACAATTTTCAGATCCTCAAAGCCGGCAGATTCAACTTTCTCATATGGATTCATAAGTATAAGATCTGGTTTCCATAAAGTGTTCTGTGGAAAAACAGTACTTACAATGCCACCATAATCATCAGGATCCCATGCCAACTGAAAGTCGTTCCAATTTAGTACAAATACGCCAACAATAGCAAATCTGCTGGTCTTTTCGTCGAATTCTTTTATCGAGAGCAGATAAAACTGAATATCCACTTCTGTCGGCTGTGAGAGGTTAAACGTCGGACGTAAGTTTTTGTTATAATTTTCCATCAAATCTCGGTGAAGTTTTTTCAAATCTACATGAGTAGCTCCGCAAATGGTTGTCAATGACATAGAGAGTAGAAGTAACAAGGAGGCCATGTTTTGTGTGTATATAATGTCAACATGATACAGCTGACTTAAAAGGTCAGTACAGATCAATAAAACATTTTTCAACATTATATATGCACACGTTTGTTTGACCTCATTGGCTAAAACCTTGGCAAATAATGACTACAATCTAGATTATTAAAATTTGGCAAATAACATTAATTACGAAGGAATATGTTATACCGAATCCTTGATCTGATTAATTTGAACTGGTGAACTTTCAATTAAAAAAGGCTTGTGACCATGACCAGTAACATACAGACTTATTTGAAATTAGGGAAGGCAAATGTAATCAATGAAAATGAAATAGTATAAACAGGTCTTTCTAACGTGTGCTTTTAACACAGAACATATCGGTACATCAAAAACATCAATAAATGTTCATCATAAATGACTAATCCTAAAGGAAAACATGTAATATTCAAACAATGTATATGTTTTAGTGACCATATAATAACCGCTGTATGGCTCTATAGTAATATTCTAATGCAAATATTGGTTGCCTGACTTTTCAAAGACAATATTGTGATGTACTCATATCATTATTTGAAGGCAAAGTATTTGTATGAAACCTGTATTTAAATACAAATGTACGTTTATCGCATAATTGGAATGTTATCCAGTGAATGTAACAAGTTGCATATAATTTAAACTTAATTTGATTGGTCAGCCTTATCATATTTTCCGCTGTTTTTTTTTTTAAATCACTACGCACCGAAGTACTACTACACGTTTGGTAGTAAAACGGGACGACAGCATATTGTTTCCGGTGGGCACACCCGTTAAAACTGACGACAAGTGTGAAGGAAAGGTGATAAAGTTAATCCAATCAACTGCAGTACCTCTGTATAGAGTTCTATTTCAGGAAACTGGTTTCGAGATCGAACGACTGTAGCCTAGGTCACGGTCACAACACTGAATGACGCACGTTATGACGTCACAAACTGGGTCAAAGTTTTGATCGAAGTACAGAGATATCAAATTTATTTCATTTTCAACATGTTTAATGTTATGATGCAATTAATTTCATATTTATCTGCAAGCTATTAAACAAAATTAAGTCAAACTCGTATTTTGTTTTGTTTTTTCTGCAACCTGCAGAGCAGGCACTCCCTTGGAATGGCGGACGCATACTTTAACCCATCGGAATTTTGTGATGCGGTGAATGTCAACAAACACAACTGTTTGATCGATGTTAAGACAGAAATCTTAATATATAAATTAAGGGATAAAAAGCATCTTAATTTCATTTCATATGAGATTTTTTTAAAACTCGTATCTAAACTTTCATTGTTCCCTCACCGAAGGCTCTCAACTCGGTACAAACAATGTCTAGACTCGTTTCCTAAAAAATTCAAAATGAAATAGAAATTCCTGTAAGATTCTCTGTTGATGTCATTCATCAATAGAATCATCCTGTCCATCAATAGAATCGTCCTGTCTAAATGATGCTTGCTATATTTTTTATGATTAACAGTTACAATCATTAGTGTACACTTATATATAGAGATGGAGTTATATAACAATGAATAATGAAAAATGTCCCTTGGAAATCATTGCTGTTACTACATTCCCTTTGAGACACAAACATCATCATCCATCCTCTCTTTCACGTGCAAATACAACTTCACACACTGTCAAGCAAGATAAAAGACATTGACATAGACAAATACACAGAAAACTTCACACAAACTTTGGTTTATACTTCATCCAAGTGCATTAAGAAAAACTGAAATTAGAAAACATAACCCTTGGTGGAATGAAGCCCGCACCATAACAAAACACATTAAATGTAGGTGGGAGGGTAAACGCAAGAAAAGTCCCTCAGAAAATTATTCAGAATGTCATAGAATAGCCAAAATTAGATTCAATAGAGCAAGAATACTAAACAAGACCATTGGAGCGAATTCTGTAACTCATTACAAAGCACTGTATGGAACAAAACTATGGTCACACAAGGCTCTCCCTAGGTTAAATGCCTATTTTTGGAAGAGATGCAGAGTGCAAATCTAATGGTGAAAAGGCAAATATTTTAGTCAAACAATTTCAAAAGGAAAGTAGGTTTGAGAATTATACGATAAAAGGAGGCAAATGTGTTGGGTAATATATTTCTTCTTTTAACTTTTATCAATATTTACTTATGTACATGTAAAGAATATATATACTACATTATCAATATTTACTTATATACATGTAAAGAATATACATATCACATTAACAATATTTACTTACGTACATGTTAAGAATATACATACTACATTATCAATATTTACTTATATACATGTAAAGAATATACATATCACATTAACAATATTTACTTACGTACATGTAAAGAATATATATACTACATTATCAATATTTACTTATATACATGTTAGGAATATACATATCACATTATCAATATTTACTTACGTACATGTTAAGAATATACATATTACATTATCAATATTTACTTATATACATGTAAAGAATATACATATCACATTAACAATATTTACTTACGTACATGTAAAGAATATATATACTACATTATCAATATTTACTTATATACATGTAAAGAATATACATATCACATTATCAATATTTACTTACGTACATGTTAAGAATATACATACTACATTATCAATATTTACTTATATACATGTATAGAATATACATATCACATTAACAATATTTACTTACGTACATGTTAAGAATATACATACTACATTATCAATATTTACTTATATACATGTAAAGAATATACATATCACATTAACAATATTTACTTATATACATGTATATGAATATACATACTACGTTATCAATATTTACTTATATACATGTATAGAATATACATATCACATTAACAATATTTACTTACGTACATGTTAAGAATATACATACTACATTATCAATATTTACTTATATACATGTATAGAATATACATATCACATTAACAATATTTACTTACGTACATGTTAAGAATATACATACTACATTATCAATATTTACTTATATACATGTAAAGAATATACATATCACATTAACAATATTTACTTATATACATGTATATGAATATACATACTACGTTATCAATATTTACTTATATACATGTATAGAATATACATATCACATTAACAATATTTACTTACGTACATGTTAAGAATATACATACTACATAATCAAATTCTAAAATCGTAAGTTCAACTTTGTAATATATAATATACACATAAAGATACAATGTATCAGAAATTACCGGAAAATAATTGTAGCAAGCCATCTTACCACTTATTTAGGGAGCAATACTGGCCAATAGTTTATTTCTTTTCTATAAGATATTTATTTAGTATACTAGATGAATGTATACCATTTAGATATATAAGATATCTAATTAAATATATAAGATCTTTTATATTTATTGTTGAAATACAAGGTCGATATTGCAATTGGAATGTGAACTTACAGATTTCTCTGCTAATGATAACCCAACCGCTGCTTCGGTTAGGCACTGATGACATGGAGCTCTGGAGCCTTCTGAGCTTTCCAGTTGGCCTGAGCGTTCGCCATACTTAACAATGCATACATCTTAAAACTCTAATAACATTGCACACATTGCTTGAGATCCCTACAAAGAAATGAAATACTAATGTTGGCACTAAGCATCTCGTTAATAGATAAACAAAAACGTGTTATTTCCGTTATTGTATACCATTATCTCATTTGGGAACGTGACAGGACTTACTTGGATGGACTAATATTTACATTGCAGGTGTTGTTGAAGCAGAAGACGCTTACTCTATCGTTGTACTTTTTCGCGAGTCTCCGTGTAACTCTTTCTTTTGTTCATGTTTTGCCTTAGTTTAGCATTTGAGCTTGAATAAAGATCCTTTGGGCATGTAGGTATTTTGTTACTTTTTATTTATCTACTCTCAATCATCGTGGGGCCGCGGTGGCCAAGTGGCTAAGGCGTAATGTAATTAATTACTATATCCCTCCACCTCTGGGTCGCGTGTTCGAGGCTCACGTGGGGCAGTTGCCAGGTACTGAGCGCAGGTCGGTGGTTTTCACCAGGTACTCCGGCTTCCTACACCATCTAAACCTGACACGTCCTTAAATGACCTTAGTTGTCGATAGGACGTAAAACAACAATAAACTCAATCATCGTTCTCTCTCCTCCATTTTTGTTCATCATATCCTATCTCGCCTATTTTTTATCATCTTCATTAGACATCTTACTTACATCAACTTATATTTTGTTAATCCACCTTTAAGAAAAATTGTATTAACCATAAGATTTATCAACATTTATATCTCACAGATAACATAGACAGTTTACGTATAAGCTTGATAAACATGGAACTTTTTAATTCCCCTCTACCTGGCGAGAGAGGGAAATTTTTTAAAAAAATCCATACTTTAACCATTTTATTTTACCGATACAAACCATGGGTACATTTTTTAACCAGAAAATATAAGTAGAGCATATATCACATGTATATTCAGCTATATTCCTATCGCACATTTGATGAAAACTTTTAACGTAAGCTAACCAGAGTTAATGCATTATTATTGTTCAAGGGAAGTAACTCTTGGAAATCAGAATTAGTTGGTGAGACTTCCCTTCATATCATTGATTTCATGTATTGTAATAAATGTAATCCGGAAATCGTTTCTGATATGTATCATATATGTTTTATTAATATTTATCAAGTATATATATCTGTATAAATTCACAACTTCAGAAACATTTGCTCTAGTAGTAGATATTATCGTGAATATTTTACAATACATTAACATGTAACTTCCTCCATTACTTTCACAGTGAACGCTCTCTTTGATACCGATTCAAACAAAGCCATTTTCATTAATTTCTATTCTTCAAATATCGTTGATAAATGAATAAATTGAGTGAAGAAAAATCAATACAAATGCTTAAGATATCGGAATGAATTAATGACCATTTACATCGTGTATGTAAACAAACAGACAAATGTCACAAGGGAAATTTTGTGACTAATACCAGAATAGGAAGGAATAAAACACATGTTTTTATACTTCATGCAAAATCTGAGTTGTTTACGTAAATGCAGCTATGCATTACAATCCAAGTACTGACCTTCCCTTGGCGACGTGCCGTGTGTCAAAGTGCACTACAAACTGATAACTTTTCGAACGAATTCCGTGTTAACGATAAAACCATTACTCATAGATAAGAGATAAAAAAAATGGACATCGGCTATGTATCGGAAAAAGGTGTTTCTATGGTAATAAGATTTTAAATATGTATCTACTTAGCTTTGATATTCTGGTCCGATATAATGGCAAATGTGATTCTTGGTTACAACATTTTCTTAATTATCGGGGGAAATGGGTGAATGGAATTGAAATTACCTAAAACCTTACCTCAACTAGCCTGAAAACACAACAAATATGAAATCTTAACACTAAATCTAATTTATTCAGCTCATTTCCTTCCTTAACATAATTCTTCTATTTTTCTCTTTTAAAACACTATTTTTCCTGTCGAGTTATTTTCCCCATGACTTTCCCCCTTTCTTTTTCATGTCTTTCATTTCTTTCCATATCCTTTGGTACATATGTACCCATACATTCTAATCTCGATGAAAGAATAGTACTTTCCTCATTCTTCAGTTCACAATGTATCGATACAGTTCACTTTCAAAAAGGCTGGACATATCTCCATGCAATTTTATAGAGAAAGTGCACACTTATGAACAGTCTGGTTTGAGAGGTATTGTGAATAAAAAAATTGTGACACAAAGCTACACATATTTTTTTTAGATAACTTATGTTGGTTTGAAAATCTCTTGAACATAAAACAAAATATTGGAAAAAAATATCAATGAAGTGTGTGGTACATGAAAAAAATCCAAAACATCAAACTCGGCTGCTCTCAGAATACTATTTAATTAAAAGTAATAATGTGCCTTTAAATTCGATTTCGTGGTTAAAATATGTAAAGATGCATATACGTATTGTCTTGTTTTGAGATCAACAACTCAAAATAAACTGATAACGATACGACCCAAAGGTACCAAACTTGTCTGTCCATACAAAAATAATGCTAATGTATCTATATGAGTGTATTGACAGATAAAACTGGTGCCTGTACATGTTTTACCCAATGTTAATTTTTATATGGGAAAAATCAAAAGACTCGCTGGTGCATTGAGATAGAATATGTTTTTAATACACCTCTAGTTGAGAATGAAGAAAAAATGATAATGCGTTATTTTTATTGTCGGTATATCAACTCAGTCGGCTTAATGTGTCCATATGCACATTGTGGTGATCTTAGCACGGACGTTGTTATATAAGTTATGATGTTATACCCATGTTTCCCGGGTTCAGATAAGTGCTGTTTGTACATGTACACATGTACGTTTAGTCATATGATAAAATATGCCAGCAAGTCTTTGTTTCTAAAAATCTTAATGATTAAACTTTATCGGGAACATTTCACAATGACAATAAGATTTTGTGTCGAATTTTGATCGTGTCGTTATTCGGAAATCATGATTTCCGTTCAGGTATATCTGACCAGAGACTTTTTTAAGATTAACAAATATTTTGTTTTAAATTTGCCTGTACATCTTGTTGATCTTGATATCCAAGCTGTATCTTCGATTTCATTACAAATAAGATTTTTTTTTCAAGCTGACAAATCTGATTGATTTTTCATATACGAAGGGGAATAACTCTCAATTGTTGTTGTGACATTATCCAACATGGCTGCATCTACTATGGAGCCGGTGTACTTCGACCTAAGTATTGAAGAGAGTGAAATTGAATCAGCTGGATTTGAGGCGTTGAAAAAAGTCAAACCACAGTGGGACCAAAGCAGTGTGAAATCTAAGGTAGATGGATTATCAGTGTGTCCTGCAACTCAATAATGTGGCATTGAATGGGCCGATACACATACCGGCCTGCTGTATCACGTAGTCGGATAATATAAAGCCGGTAGGGTAGGCCATACCAGGTGATGGACAATATTTTACAGTGATCGACAAATGGTTTCAATTCGTATATCTTTGCTTATATGTGGAGCAAATCACACACCATAAACTTAAATACGTGCTAGAAGTTATGGTGCTTAAGCTTAAATATATATACTTGCTTTTTTGTTTGTGCTATTATTTTGTGTTAAAGCATACCACTTGTGCATATCTTAGTGAGAAATTAGACGAAGATTGTATATCAATTCAATTTCAGACTTTGAGATCGCCCGAATTTCCCTGTAAAGGCCCATGCACACTCATGTGTGAATCATACCTATTTATTCTTTGGAGTATAATTAGAACAAGGAAAACGACATACCTTCTCCTGACAGGATTTGAATCAGAATCTCTCTTTGTGATAGAACCTGTCAGGTGTCTCTGAGCTGGAGCCTTCACTTTAAAATTTTGTGGAAGGCTCTGTCAGTTGAAAATAGAGCGATATCGACAGAGATCTTGTATGTTAAGATTAAATTACATATAAAACAACAACAACAAAAAATATCAACGTAACATGTTATTGTATAGCATGCATGGTGTAGTGAACCAGGGTCAAAATATCATGATGGTGAAGTGAACCGTTGTAAAATGGGAACAAATGAAAGATTTACAAGGGACAAGGTCAAAACAGGTGTTCCAGCTCAGATAAGCGTCTATTCGCTATTTCAAGGACGACACGCATGACCACCATTTAAATGTTGGTCAATGCAAATAAGTAATGTCACACTCTCAAAAAAGCTTTGGCAAGGTCTCCGTGTACAAACCATAGAGACGGTCTTACATATCAGCAAAGTACAGCCAAAGCGTCTGCAGTACATTCTTACCGCCTTGTGTACTTTTTTCTTTGACCTTTTCACCATCTAATCTCATTACTTTCTATCTTAGAATTAGTGTACATGTACATAGGATTAAAGTACAAGCAAAAATGTTGGTCAGTTCCTACATACAACTGATAGTATGCTTCATACTGGTCACTTGTCATTAATTAGGTGAAGGTGACAGTGTAGTCATGCTTAAATATTCTGCTGGTTGTGTTGTAAGGACTTCAATTTATTTCCTTTGACATGACCAACCTGAAGAGAATGTTCTTAAACATCTGTTTCAAAATTTCTTCTCATATTCTATGATGTGATTCAGCTGATACTTGCTTGAAATGATACTGAGATGTTCCTGACCAAATTGTTCACATTGGTCCAAAATCCATTATGGTTGACATTTTTAAAAAAACGCATTGAAAACTTCTCAATGTCCCAATAGTGCATTGAGAAACTGAAATGGGGAGTTTTTTTTTCTCATTTGCTGCTGAGATGTTCCGAACTGTTTAAATCATTATTACTTCGATTGCTGTTACACTATATGCAATTGTACAGGTTTTTATAGTTGGCCTACTGTTGTAAGGCCTATGGTCTTCTTCTTATCCTCTTCTTAATTATTTTGAAATGACTTGGTTCATAGATTTTTTAAGCAAATTCAAAGAATTTCTTGTTTCAGTTTCAAGCTGGATTCAAGAATAATTCTTTTGATACTGTCATTTATGACCCAAAGCCAAAATGTTTTGATCGTTGCCAATGCCAACATGTTTTGATCGCCGCCATGCTTAAAGCCTCATTAAATACATAATTTGGAAATTTACGAGATTAAAACAATTTCTGAAAAAAACTTTCACTTGATAATTATGCAGAGATAAGATTTGAGACATACTTAAGCTATGTAGTATCTACTATGAAAAACTTTTTGAGGGTATCAAAATAAATGAAAATTGGGTGCAACTGAAAATACAAATTGCTATTATACAAAGTTCAGAAGGCCATCACGAAAAAAACTCCAGACCAACCTGCATACTCAAATGAACAGATGTAATAAGCACACTTATGGGTCAATTGCGATGTTGCACTCATTTCATGATGCCATATCGCAGGTAGCATGTAGGCGTATGGTCATTTGAGGGCTTATTGTGTAGTTTGAATAGTGCCTATACATGTTTATAGTAAATACCAACCTCTTACGGAAATGTTAAAAAGATGTTATGACTTCGGTTCGGTAAAGTTCGTAAATAGAGGCACAATTACAAAGGGAAACAACAACTTTTATATAAATATCAACGTACAACATTGTCTTGAGTATGTCTCAGATGAATTAATTTTTGCTGTGTTGTTACAAATTCATCATATGTTCTCCTTAAACCTTAATTAAACCTTAATCCTTTTATAATTTTCAACTTCTCATGTTCCGACAGTGGGATTTAGCTGAAACTTGTCAGAAATGATCCTGAGGTGGTCCTAACCCAGTTTTGTTATTTCGGGGTCAATTCAAAATCCAATATGGCCACTGTGACTGCCGTCTTGAATATCATATTTGTTTTTCTCAAATTCCACTTGTGACATTCAGCTGAAAATTGGTTGGAATGTTAAGGAAAGAATGCTGAAAAAGTGGTTTTATTTATTTATTTATTTTTTTAAGTAGGGTCTTGTTGAAAGTTAATTCTGGCAGCTACTGTTGCCATTTTGTAACATGATTGTGCAATCATGGTTTCCCCAAGCAATGTCTATTTTAAGCTTCTTACCAAGTATTCCAGCTGGATTCAGCCAGAAATGGTCCTGACCAAATGCTGTTATTTTTCAGGTCAATCCAAAATTTAATATGACTGCCATTTTAGATAGAAAAGCACTCTATAAAGTTGGAATTTGGAGAAATCGATTTGTGGAATGCAAACTGGTTTAATTTTTTTCTACTGCTAATCACATATATCTGGTACATGTATGTCTTTATAGTCAACTGACCATTAAAGCCCACAAGTCTCTTGATGAAACCACTTCATATATCTTGAACTTGCACCTTAGTGTACATTTTTATGCATGCTTGCCTGCTCCAATGACTATGTGATTGTGGATTTTTTTTCAGATTTTAAGTGGAGGAATAACAAACAAATTGGTATGTTTTTATGAAGATGGAAAATTTGGTGAAGACTCCATTGTTATCAGAGTGTTCGGACAAAAAACTGATTTAATTATTGACCGAGATGCAGAAATGAAAAACATGATAGTCTTATCAAAGAAAGATATATGTCCACCATTATATGCGGTCTTCAGAAACGCTCTCATGTATGGATTTGCTTCCGGTGTAGAGCTGGATGAGAAGACAGTGAGAGACCAACATATAGGAAAGTGAGTTGGTTGTGTTACAAATTCACACGCATGCTTATACTGTATTTATCATGCAGAAGGCCAATGCAGTAGGTTATATGTAGCCAATCTTATGCTTATGTTTTCAGGTAGCAACATTTAGATATGTGTGGGCTTATTAACAGACACAAGCTTTCTGCCCACTAGATATAATACATGATGTAATGGCTAATTGCATCATCTTATCCTCTCTCTATAACTTGATTTTTATTCTGGTTGTTACATAAATCTAGTGTTACAAGATCTATTCTTATTTAAATCATCATGATAAGATTTTCATTTCTCTTTTCATTTTACGAAGACTTCATTTGTAATCTTAACTGTTCAAATTCTCTGCATTCGTAACACAAAGTATTCAATTAATTGCCGAAGATTGCTTTCTCACTAAATTCTCTTCAATTTTATACGTTTTAAATGAGTGTTTTCATTCTCAGACTAGTTGCAAAAGAACTAGTGAAACTTCAGTTGGTGAAATCCCAGGGAACTGATGGATCAAAGCCCCAGTGTGAACTGTTTGATAAACTGGATGATTGGCTTAGCAAGATGCCAGAAAAGTTTGATGATCCAGTGAAACAAGAGAAGTAAGTTGTCCACAATTGGTGATTTGAGATATGTCGAACCTAATCCATTTAATTCATGCATCAGAGCCAACTTTTTTACAATTAGAATTAAAAGTCACAGGGCTCTCACACCCCATTTTGGGATTGGTGCCGGGGGCCCTTTGAATTGGTAAAAATAATGGTGTTTTCCTTAGAATTGGGAAAACTTGGGGTCTAAATTGGGAGAAAAAGATACTATTTTGCATTGGGATTCGGCCCCAAATCTGGCAGATCGGGAGCCCTGAGTCAACTTTCCATACAAGTTGATAAGTTCACCTGATCCTAGCCATGTGATTTTTTCTCTATTACAGCTGTTTAAAACAAATCTTCATTCAAAGCATTTTATTTCTGTATTTTCTCTCCAAGTTGAAAATTCATTTCATGCATGAATATCATGGCTTCTGTTTCGAGAATTTGGTGATTTAAAAACTTTTTAAAGAGATATCACATGTCATTTTTTCTTTTCATTTAATGGAAACAAGATTATAAACCAATATTTCTGCCAGTATTGTAAAGAAATGATATGTGTGTGGTTGATGCATTTTACACCAAGTCACACAACTATATCACACTCAGTGTCTAATGATATGCAGGTTAAATGGTTGAGTAGATTAATTAGTTACAAAAAACAATAAATTTTATCTTAATCATTGGTAAGGAGATGTACTGTTGAAGAAGGACAAACGTATCGTTCATCCTCCAAATTATGATATAGCAGTGAGTGTTTGGGCAGTCCTTAATTATACGGTTGAGAGCACTGTTGTGCTTTTTAATAGGAAAATACATTACTGAACAGTTTTCATGTGATATCAATTGACTAACAGCAAGCTGTCACCCTATACACTTACAGTGGTATGAGTAACACAGTTTGATCCCAATCTCTTTCACTTGGCATATTGTTAGTATTATATTGGAAAAAAAAAATTTTTCACTGTGAAAAAAAATTTCTTTGAGAAATGAATTAATACTCCTTGTGTTACATGATTGTAAGGTATTTAAGTAGCTTACCAGTGAAACATATTTTAGGTACACTGTTGATGAAATGTTTATCCTGCATGCATGTTTGACTTTATTGTTGTCAGTATCAGTGAGTTAGGTTATTTGGTGTAAACACAGGCTGTCAACCATTATGTTATTGATGACAGGAGACTGAGATATAACATAAACTATACATGTACTGTGTTACTCCGATTTAGTAATCCCAATCAAAACGTGACAAATGTTGAACCTAAGTGTGGTTATGAGTCACGTACACATACAAACGAATACATATGAAGGAACACACCAGTGCATGATACATATCTACCTGGTGTACAGGTAAATGAAAAATATATATTATCTTTGTGAGGTTCGACTTTCGGTTAGTAAAGTTGGAATGTCTGAAAATGACCACACCGACTGAAATCTTACCTCACCAATCAATGAAACAACCAACAAAAACCTGTATGACATATGTCCCACAAACCACTTAATACTGACCACTTGTACAAAGCAAGGCTATATTTAGGGACACAATCAAATTCTTTATCAAAAGATCATATATCACAAGGTCATACAGGCCTAAGGATCATACAGGGTCATATATTAAGTCATGAGACTTACCATAAAGGATTTTATTGGTTGAAAGGTCACAATAGGTCAGAAAGGTCACATTAGGTCAGGTCACAATAGTTCAGAAAGATAACAATAGTTCAGAAAGATAACAATAGGTCAGAAAGGTCACAATAGGTCAGAAAGGTTACAATAGGTCAGAAAGGTCACAATAGGTCAGGTCACAATAGGGCAGAAAGGTCACAATAGGTCAGAAATATAACAATAGATCAGAAAGGTTACAATAGGTCAGAAAGGTCAAGTCAGAAAGGTCACAATAGATCAGAAAGGTCAAGTCATCGGTCATTTAAGGTCATATTAGTGGTCAATCATGTGCAGTTCATGTTAGTACAATCAGGATCATGCATTAGTGTGCAACTTTGGAGTTTCCCTTGAAGCTTTTTGGATATGAGTAAATTCATCATAAGGATATCTTCCATTTCAGATTTTCCAAACATGTACAGCCTCGATCAGTACTTAAGAGTGAAATGGTCACCCTTAAGGAGCACCTGATGGCTATGGAGTGTCCCATTGTTTATGCCCACAATGACCTTCTAGTGGGTAATGTAATCTACAACAAAAAGTCAGGTACTTTGTTTTACATCCTAATGTTTAGGTACTTGTAAATTGCCTTTAGTATTTCTGTTCAAAAAAGTAATGATGAGCTGCTTATGTCATTCATTGTTCTGAAATTTTCATTCTGAAGACAAAACAAACTTGGCTTTCCAACACCTGCTATCAGTTAATAATGTCTTCTGCACCAAGGCTTACATTCACTTACTCATGCAGGAAAGTTTTTATTTTCTCAAAACTTAATTGCTACTTATCCTTGAATGTGTAGTTGGTTCTATATGTAATGCACCATTTCCACCTTGTCATTTTGGCATCACTGAGGCTTCGTGACTTTTCTCAGTTTTAGCATAAGATATATCTGAATACCATTTGACTGTAGCTAGTAATCTATATCAAAACGGTAATATCTCTTTTATACAGACAAAGTGACTTTTATTGACCATGAATATGGAATGTTCAACTACCAGCCTTATGACATTGGAAATCACTTCTGTGAATTTGCTGGTAAGTGCGTGCAATATGTACATGTATTTTTAGGTTACCTGAGACAAAGTCTCTGGGTGACCTTTATTGTGGTTCCTTTTTGTCCGGCGTCTTGAACTTTTAATATTTTCAACTTTTTCTGGAAAACTCCAGAACCAATCTCAATGAAATTTTACAAAATATGTTTCATGGCTAAAGGCACACCAAAACTGCAATTTATATGGTCCCCAACCCCAAGGGTCTTGAGGGATGGGGCAAAAAAACAGGGTCAAATTGGTTGAAATTTCAAAAATCTTCTTCTCAAATCCCAGGTATAATAGAATCAAGTACTCTTCAAGGACAGAAAGGCCTTCAGATGCTTTACCAAGATTGTAAATTTCATGACCCCATTGTCTCACATTTCCCCCTGTGTAGGGGGTAAAATTTATGTTAATTTATATAGGAAAATCACGTTTTTGAATGTTATTTGTTTATTTTCTGTTGGAAATAGACCTGGGTAAAATTATTAGTTTAAGATGACAGTTTTAGGAGGTGCACATATTGACCTTGACTGACCCAAGTGGCTCTTTGGTGGAGCCAAAAATGGGTCAAATCAACTAAAAATTTCAAAAATCTTCATCTCAGTACCCAGATAATGTAGGACCTTATATGTGTCTTACAGTGCTTTATAAAAATTATAAATTTCATGATATCAGGGCCTCACAATTCCCCTTCGGGAGGGGGTAAAATTTATTATATTTTATATAGGAAAATATCTTTTAAGCATAATTTGTTTTCTTTCAGAAATAGTTCAAATTTGGATAGAATTTTTTTTATATTAATATAAGCAGACAGTTTGATGAGATGCACATATTGACCTTGACTGACCCCAGGGGCTGATGGGCAGGGCCAAAAACAGGTCAAATTGACTGAAATTTGAAAAATGCTCTACTATTCCTAGATGGAAGATTTTATATAGGAAAACTGAAATCTTGATTGTAATTTCTTTTGACTTAAACTTGGATAAAAACCTTAGTATAGAACAGCAGTTAATGTATACACAATTTGGATTTGCATTATGTGTACAATATAGTTTAAGTTTATTACCTTTTTTGACAAAATCGATTCAGGTGACTGTTTAGGCCCTTTGGCCTCTGCTAATTTCTTTAACTGTTTGAATAAAACTGTTTGTTATGAAGGGTTTACTTCGTTTGTAGATATTGAGAATATAAATAGAATTTGATATTAGGTTGTGAAATATTTGTCTCTAGATCAGACTTTTTCCCCAACAATAGTGTAGAAGTAGTATGCTGTATGTTAAAAGTAACATTCAAAATTGATCTTTTACAAGTAATATTACACCATATGCAATACTCTATAGGCTTACATTAAATTTAAGAGATGTTGCAGGATAAATAAATCTTTTTACAGGAAAATGTCTCATGGTTAAATATAATCAGGCATTGAAAAAAAAATAGAAGAAAAGATTATTTTAGATTTGAAGAAAAAACAAACAAACAAAATCACCTGAATCTAAATTTAAGAAAAAAGACCTAGATTTGAATTTGAAGAATTAAAAAAAAGACAAAAAAACTAAGGAAAATACACTGGCTGTATATGGGACACATGCAAAGAGTTAAAAAGAATGTGAATATTGTAGATATATTTGTAGATCAGTGAAGTAAGATGCTAAAACTTTTACAGCTCAGTGATCTCTTCTTTCACCCCAAAAAAGCATAGATGCCTTTGTAGGACCAAGTGTGCTTATTAGATTAAATATGGAATTTACAATTGTTTATGGGTCAGGGGAATGTTTTGTTTAAAGGAGTGCAAGAAGTGGACTACAATCTGTACCCAGACAAGGAATTCCAGATGGGATGGCTTCACTCCTATCTACAGGCCTGGAATCTAGCACATGACAACTCAGATGATATATCACAGACAGAGCTAGAAAGATTTTATGTTTATGTCAACAAATGTGCCTTGGTAAGTACACGTAAATACTGAATATGTAAAATATTCCTTGTTTGTTATTTTCTTTTCCAGAATTTTTTAATTTAATTGAAAGGACACAGAAAATAACAAGAGTTAATGTTCTTGAATACTTATGATCAAATATCATAACACCGTTTAGAAGTCTGGATATTTATATAACCTCCTGTTGGAGAAATTGTCAAGAACTATGTCCTACCAAGGTCATATGTGTGTTATGGTTCATTTTTTGGTTTCTTATTGTTTGATGACCCTAATGACCTTTTATGTGTTGATGGGCTGTTAAGAATGTAATAATAATAATAATTCTTATTGTTTCATATTATACTGTGTACTGTTCAGCATTTTTTTCCCAGTTTTATTGAACACAATTAAGGAATGACATTTCAGCTGTCAGAAAATTCACAATATCATTTCCAGATGGGAGAACCATGACAGTCCATGGAAATGACATATATGATGTTTTTATGATACTGTAATAATGCAAAAGAGCATTGCTGGTCTAGAATCTGAGAATTCATGTATGATTTGCTGAAACAGTAGATATATATTCTCTCATCTTAAAGGATTTGGATTCCTTCCTTGCAGTGTTACAAAAATCTGCCTTGAATATATCCCAACACGTGTGTGTGTGTGAAGGTTTTGTCCAATGTTTACACATTATAAATATATCTGTATTACTTATGAGTCACAAGGCTTTGAGTCATAAAAAATTTAATCAAAATAGAACAATATATGATATGTATTTAGCAAAAAATTGATTTCATCTGAATGGTAGAATGCTATATGGGAACTGTTCTGTTATCATATAACACATATATTGATATGTAAGATGCTAAAAAGTTAGAACATCATGTCTGAAGTTTACAATGATGCAGAATTTTTTTGTTTTACTGACAACTTGACGTTTGAATTTCAGACTGCCCATTTTTTCTGGGGTGTTTGGGCCATTATACAAGCCAAGTACTCTACCATTGATTTTGATTATCTTGAGTAAGTCAAAACTTTGTATGGAATCATATTATTGACTTTACTGTCCTAAAGCTTAATGAATGGGCACTTTGTGGATATACATGTGATTTTACATGCAGAAATGAAAATGTATTTTTGCTTTATTGTTTAGAAATTTATTCAGCAAGCTTTGAAGATATTAGATGATAAAAATTAACAGAACAAATGGTTTAAAATATACATTCAGATTCTGTTTCATTGAATCAGGACTAAACCTATGCGGTGACATGATGTATAAGTATTTTCAAAATGATTCATAATTTCATTTCAAAATTCTTATGGCCTTGAAAAATATTTCATTTTTGTATCTACGTAGTGTAAATATAATTTTTTTGTTAACTCTTTTTTTCTTTTTTTTTTTAAATTTTTCTTTCAATTTCTTTCTTATACATTGCACCATGCTTTTTCAGGTATGCTGTGATAAGATTTGATGAATACTTCAGACGGAAAGAAGAATTTTTATCATTAGAAGTACCTAGCAAATAAATAGGTATACGTGTACCATGAAAGGTAAGAGCTTATCATGTTACCGATAGGCCTTGGGTGATAACTATGCTTAGCAATACATTGGTATCTAATAATGAATTCTATGTCAATATCATTCTTTGCAAAGTATCTCAGGGGACAATTTATATAAAGATTTATTAAATATTATTAGATGTTTACAAATATATTTTATATGATGAGAAGTCTACTGAAACATCGATGAAAAAATCTGATGATGATAAAATTTTCATGGATAACTCTGAAACAACGGGAAACAAAAAGACACTTTGAGCATTAGTAGCGTGTTGATTCCGCTGTATAATTCATGTATTTAATGTTTTTCATTTCAATTAAAGTAATTCTCTGAGATAATAGTATGTACATATGTACATGTATGTATCAAGCAAGGCCATTTTCTTGTTTATTTCCTGTGACAGTGCAGAGTTTCCCTTTGGTTTGCAGTTTAAAATCCCTGATTGAAATATGTATTACAGATGCTATGCGTTTTATTATGTGTACTTGTTTTAACTGCAAAACCCCTGATATCACCAAAGGAAGGAAATGTTTTCCATTAAGCTTCAATATTTAAATCTTTAAGCTTTGGTCCAAAGTAGATTTAAGCTTAATTTCAAAGTTTTTATGACCGAATGCAGCTGTCCACCATATTTTGCAGATATCCACTCCACAACATCTATAAATGATAAATGACCTCAATTTAATGATTCTGATTTCATGTACCAGGTACAGAATATACATAGAACATATATCGTTCGTTTCATAATAATTTTACATTTATTTTAATTTACAGGGTGATGGATTTGACAAGAAGCTTTGGAATGGAATGCTAATGCACATCACTACCTCTCCTATTTTTGAAATTACTTTTTATTTTACATTTTGATTTATTATTACTATGCATATTCTATGTTAAAATAAGATTAAATATTTTTATGATGTACATGTACATGAAACTGAAATATTTTAAATTTTACCATATTCCAGACATCTGACTCAAACAGACAGGATGATCTATAGTCACCAATGAGTGACCATCGTGATTCCAATATCATTTGGCACCATCCGTCCTGCATAAACTTTTCATATTTTAAAATTTATTCTTAAATTCCACAGGAGAGATTGAGCCCAAACTTAACTGAAATGATTCTAAGATGCTCCTAACCAAGTGTTGCTATTTTCAGGTCTGTTCAAAATCCAATATGGCAACCATTTTTGCCATTTTGAAAAATAAATTTTCAAGTTTCCTCTTCAGTTACACTAGTGCAGTTGATCTGAAAATTCATTGGAATATTGAGAATCTAAAATGTAGGAATTGATGTCGTTTCTGTTACGTTTATTGCTAAAATTAAGAAATGTTTTTCATTTTATCACATTTTCCGATACATACTGATACCATATGTTGTTACAATCATTTCACCATTAATGACTAGGTGCTTCTTGTTAGTGATACATTTGATGTCTATGTTTTTTAGTCGTACTACATTGTATGTTATTTGGGGTATGGGTTATTTTAGACTGTGAATGCTACAAAGTGTAGGATTATGCCTTCTTGGTATGGCGTCTTATTGGAGATGAAACATATACCTCGTGATGTGTATATATTTAGACCAAATTTTATGATTAATTATAGACTAACATATAAGATACATTCATATCTCTTAATCTTTGTATTGTAGTAGTTTAAGAAACTGACACAAGAGAAATATTGTTTTTAAAATGTTTCCATGAATTCATTATATGTTTATAAACCTAGATGTATATATGGTTACAATAAATCGGATAAAAGACTCCAGTATCATGTTCCTCATTTCTTCTGTTATAAGGGCTTTTCACCAGTTGGTAAAAAGACCTGTTGTTTTTGTTGTTTCTTATTCTTATTATTCTTCTTCCAATATTGTGGGCTCGTAATCTTTTAAATTGTAAAAGCTAGACACACAGTCTATTCTTCTATTTGTAGATACGTATATGAAGTTGTCGATGCCGATTTTATAAGTAGGTCAAAAATCCAATATGGCCGCCATGACGTCATAAGTTCAAAACTTAAAAACGGCAATATCAGGAAAACCATTGATTGTACAGAGTTTGTGCAATAATATTTGTAGAGAATTTTCCCTATCTAACTTTTTCTCATGCCATATTAATACAAAGTATGTCAAGTAAAAAAGCTCACTGTGGGGTAAAGTTTTCAAAATTTAACAATTTTTTTCTCTTTTTTTTTTTTCAATTTTGAATTTTCTTGAAATTTTCTTCTTCAGATCGATGCAGAACGTCCTTCCGATAAATTTAGTGTTTTGTTTTTCGGGGAGTCTATCCGATATCCAAGATTGTCGCCAAAGGAGTGAAAAGCCCGCATAATTATTAGCAACAATTTCTAGTTTAAATATATAATGGTGTTTATTTAATTCAGAAAAAGATGGAAATCCTTACTTTGATCGTTTGAATCATTGGAACTATTGCACATAACTGCATTTTCACAATTTGTTAATATCTTTTTAATTTTTGAATAGGGACATTTATAGATTTTCCTTTAACAAACAGCTTACAGTGATTTATAGGCGTGCCTTAAAACAATGTAGATTTTCAATCCTCCCTCTAAGCTCATTGCGGTAATCTGACCATGGTCTTGTCACGGCTAGTTTCCAATGGTCAAACTCACAAGTAAGTTTGGACAATGTTAAAGCCTTGTAATCGACTTCTTAAATTATATTTGTATTGAATTTGATACTGAAGTATATTGACATAAAATGGACGTATATTTTGTTGTCTATGATCAGTTTCAGTTTTCCACATCAGCCGTATGCCTTAATCAATCATTTTGCTGCATGCAATCAAAAATAGATAACTATGCAGTATGTTGATTTCGGTTTTTCTAAGACACGGGTCCCTTCCTACATAGTGACAATCCTTTTTCCCAAGTTTACGACGTTTTCTGGTTGACTCGATATCTAAACGACTTGATCCATAAACCAGATTTCCATGAAAGATTGTCGGTCGCTGACCGTCTTTATCACTAGCCCTCCACCTGTGGGTCGCGGGCTTGGGAACGTGAGGCAGTCACCAGGTACTGGCCGAAGATCGGTGGTTTTTCTCAACCATCCGAACCAGGAACGTCCTTATCTGGCAATAATGAACCGATATATACCTGCGATTACTGCACAGTTTCTAGTTCGTGGTTTTAGTTTCGAAGGAATTTATTTTCTTTTGCTTTTTTTAATCAACTGTAGTTAAGAGTTTAAAATTTAATAAGAAAATGCTATACTTTGGATACATTTCTGGATACAGCAACATCTTAACAGGGAGTATCGTTCTCACGTAATCTTAACAGGGAGTATCGTTCTGACGTAATCTAAACAGGGAGTATCGTTCTGACGTAATCTAAACAGGGAGTATCGTTCTGACGTAATCTAAACAGGGAGTATCGTTCTGACGTAATCTAAACAGGGAGTATCGTTCTGACGTAATCTAAACAGGGAGTATCGTTCTGACGTAATCTAAACAGCGAGTATCGTTCTGACGTAATCTACACAGCGAGTATCGTTCTCACGTAATCTACACAGCGAGTATCGTTCTGACGTAGTGTAAAGAGCGAGTATCGTTCTGACGTAATCTACACAGCGAGTATCGTTCTGACGTAATCTAAACAGGGAGTATCGTTCTCGCGTAATCTAAACAGCGAGTATCGTTCTGACGTAATCTAAACAGGGAGTATCGTTCTGACGTAATCTAAACAGGGAGTATCGTTCTGACGTAATCTACACAGCGAGTATCGTTCTGACGTAATCTACACAGCGAGTATCGTTCTGACGTAATCTAAACAGCGAGTATCGTTCTGACGTAATCTACACAGCGAGTATCGTTCTGACGTAATCTACACAGGGAGTATGCGAGTATCGTTCTGACGTAATCTAAACAGCGAATATCGTTCTGTCGTAATCTACACAGCGAATATCGTTCTGACGTAATCTACGTAATCTAAACAGGGAGTATCGTTCTGACGTAATCTAAACAGCGAGTATCGTTCTGACGTAACCTAAACAGTGAGTATCGTTTTGTCGTAATCTAAACAGGGAGTATCGTTCTGACGTAATCTAAACAGGGAGTATCGTTCTGACGTAATCTAAACAGCGAGTATCGTTCTCACGTAATCTAAACAGGGAGTATCGTTCTGACGTAATCTAAACAACGAGAATCGTTCTCACGTAATCTAAACAGGGAGTATAATTCTTTCGTAATCTAAACAGCGAGTATCGTTCTGACGTAATGTAAACAGCGAGTATCATTCTGACGTAACCTAAACAGTGAGTATCGTTTTGTCGTAATCTAAACAGGGAGTATCGTTCTGACGTAATCTAAACAACGAGTATCGTTCTCGCGTAATCTCAACAGGGAGTATCGTTCTGACGTAATCTAAACAACGAGAATCGTTCTCACGTAATCTAAACAGGGAGTATAATTCTTTCGTAATCTAAACAACGAGTATCGTTCTGACGTAACCTAAACAACGAGTATCGTTCTGACGTAATCTAAACAACGAGTATCGTTCTGACGTAATCTAAACAACGAGTGTCGTTCTGACGTAATCTAAACAACGAATATCGTTCTGACGTAACCTAAACAACGAGTATCGTTTTGACGTAATGTAAACAGCTAGTATCGTTCTGACGTAATCTAAACAGGGAGTATCGTTCTGACGTAATCTAAACAACGAGTATCGTTCTCGCTTAATCTAAACAGCGAGTATCGTTCTGACGTAATCTAAACAGGGAGTATCGTTCTGACGTAATCTAAACAGGGAGTATCGTTCTGACGCAATCTAAACAGCAACTATCGTTTTGAAGTTGCCTTAACAACGAGTGTCGTTCTGACGTTATCTAAACAACGAGTATCGTTCTGACGTAATCTAAACAACGAGTATCGTTCTCGCGTAATCTAAACAGCGAGTATCGTTCTGACGTAATCTAAACAGCGACTATCGTTCTCACGTAATCTCAACAACGAGTATCGTTCTGTCGTAATCTAAATAGCGAGTGTAAAAAACGAATGTACTTCACGCTTCGATTGCCCAGAGGCTGTTTAGGTTAACCATTGTTTTGTAAAAATGTTCAAATATAGATTAAACACAATTGGAAACATTCTGCAACATTTCATAGCGTTTTCATAGCCATTTTGCCATTAACGCTCTTGTTATGTTTTTTTTTCAACGGCAACATTTTGAATTTATCGCTTACCACTGATTAACTTTAACCTTTGAGCAACCGGGCAAGGTCGCCTTCCTAGCCATGGCAAGTAGGAGCATCCATTTAGTCAAGCGGTGCATTGTTTTAGTTAAGCGGTGCCATTGCACAGCAAGAAACCGAGTTTTTCATCAATCTTTCCTATGACAGTTGATCACTCCAAGCGTAGAAGCTAGAGGAGATCGAGATGCCTTTATTAAACTAAAGAATCAGCGTTGATATTGCTTTCGATGTCGAAGAAGGGAGCAGTGTAGCAGTTCAGAAAACATGGATTGGGTGTCAAAACGGTTTGACAGTTGCCACTGTTCTTTCCAAAAACTACGCTTATGAGTGGGACTTGGTGCTACCCAGCACATGTTACCTTACAAACTCCGGATAGTGGAATTTTCCTATTTTGTTTAGGTCAAGCTGTAGAATGTCTGGTTAGAGATCGAAAGGTCACTTTCTCTGCGGAGGGAGGGTGTATCTCACTACTATTTAAGCACGCACATGAAATATCAAGGGATTTTATCAATGCTTTAGTGAGGAGTCTACAGTAATGCTGTAAATAGAGGATTTTGAATGAGATTCCATTTCATATAAAAACCTGAAACTAGTCTGAGAATTTACTTTCTGGGTTATGGAGATGATATATTGAATACATATAGATTTTCAAATTTGCAAAGGAGGAAAAAGGCGGTTTTGATACTGAACAATTATAAGTATATAATATAAATCAAATAAATATCATTATAAAACGACGATATTTTGTCAAACTGTAGAAGCCGAATTCAGTGTAAGGTTTATGTTTATGTTTTTTCGTCCCTGTGATGTATTCTTGAACATAGGAGATAGCAATCCGTGTATGTTTGTGTTATTACAGGGTAGTTTGCTCAATTATAGAAATTTGCAGTCTGTATGCATGGTCGTCAAAACATCATAAAACATTCAAGCTTTATAAACAATTTATTTGTTTTTCTTTTCAAAGGGTTTGAACACTTTTTCAAAACGATAAATGATCTGGAACAATATTTTTGCACCTTTCATCCCTAAGATATTTTAGGTCACAATCAATATACATATATGTATAGATCTTTCGTTTATATATGTATCAAATGTGACAAGTTTTCTCAACTCTTTAGATAATTCTGCCTGATAGAGCGCTTTCGCAATTGGACCGGAAGTCACTATGACACATGCAGCAGTAGGCAAACGAAGGTCGTCCGAACATATCCGCACACTGCATACAGGTAGGAGACAACATTTTGATGTCGTCCATGGAGATGTCTCTGTAATTACACGGGAAACATGGCATGTCATTGTCACTTTGGATAACGACCTTACAGAAAGTGCTCTGTACCATGAAGGTGAAACAGAAGGCGACCAAAAATCCGGACACTTTGTTGTTCATGGTTGGCTTGCGTTGCGTACGGGGAATTTCTGAAACGTAAATGGAATCAAAATCAGTTTTGAAAAGTTAAAATTCAACTTAGAATTCAATCCTTTTGTAAATTTTCTAAACAATGGCTAATC